TGACTCTTCTCTGCCCTCAGACTTCTCAGGATCCTTCTCTTCACTATCTCTGCTTCTTTCTTCCTTGAAAAAGACTCCATCCACCAGCCTTCCTCTCCCGAGTATGCAGACGGACTACATCTCCCAGCCTCCCTTGCAGTTAGGTGTGACCACATGCTTCTGTTCAGGCCAGTGAGGTGAGAATGGAAGGAAGGGCCAGCTCCTGCAGAGGCCTGGTGGAAAGGGGAACGGCCACCACAGGACCTGCCAGAGGACCCAGGGTTTATAGATCGTTCTGGACATAAGGTTGTAGTTACTCAGAACTATTTATTTTGGCTTTTTTTTTAAATAGGAGGGAAAAATTAATTTCCATTATATTTGAGCCAAAGAAAAGACATGGCTTACTGTGTATATGCACGTGTGCATGCATGCGTGTAGAGGATTTAGTTTCTCATCTCCTTCATGCTTCCACGTGGGAAAGCAGGGATCGGGAGCCTGGAACTTGGAAAAGAGACTTAAGATCCAAAAGCTTTGCAAAAGGGAGAGTCCCAGGGATACAACGGAAGGATAAAATCATACATGCAGCCTTTGACTTTCAATTTGAAGTCATTCCTGAATTTGCTATCTGTTGTCTCCATACCACCAAAACCTCAAGACCCTGAGCGGTCTGAACCTTGGAGAAATGCAACAGGCAGGGCCATATGTGGGTGCAAAAGCCTTGGGGAAGTCAGCCTGGAGCTGGTAGAGGTGATGGCTGTGGCAAGGAAAGGGTTAAGGGGTCTGTACACAGGACTGGCTCCCCTCTCAGTGAGGGCACTAAAATCAGCATGTCGCCTCCAATTTGCTTCGGCCTGACCTTGAACGTGAATCATTCCATCACAATGTCCTTATTGATTTCCACAGGAAGAAGACTAAGCCCAGAAAATCAGGGCGGGAACTTGAGACTGCACCACGGAGAATGGGATGGTTCTGCAGCTCAAAGCCCCTCGTGTTTGCAAAGACGTCACAGGGGTTTGCCCACTGGGCAGCCACCCTGCTTGGCCAAAAACCCTCCAAGCAAGTGGCCAGGTTGGTGGTAGCCTTGTTTACCTACCTGTGGGATGTGTGGCTCCCTGGTGTGTAATGGATTTTATGTCCTGTACATAGACTGGAATGAACCTGAGAGGTGGGGGAGATGAAACAGATGTCCTCAGAGCTTGAGGCTAGTCTGGTCTATGCATCCTCTTTTGCAGACTGACAGCGCTTGGGATCCTCAGAACCTACAGAGCTATTTTAGGACCTAAGTTGCCATTGGTCCAGTTGGCTCGAAGAGCCAGGAAGAGCCCTGTTCAGTCATGAAAACCCTTCAAAGGCATGAGATCAATGTGAGAATGTATGTATCTGACATGCAGGCTAAAGGAGGCAGGTGGATCCATAATTTCCCTTTTTTGTGTAACATCAAGAGCTGAACATGTCAGTATGCCCCAGGGCTGCCTAATATTCTATAGTGTGGCTGTACCGGCTTATTTAGCCGTTCCCTTTAGATAGGAATCTAGTGCTGTCTATTTTAAAACTTTAGAACAGTGCTACAGTCAGCATCCTGGCCTGGCTTTCTTTGTATGGATTTTTTCTTTAAATGCTTTACGAGTTTGCTCTCTGATTAGGCTAGGCTGGCCGGCCAGTGAATCCCAGGGATCTACCTGTCTCTGCCTTTTTGGTGCTGGGTTACAAACATACCCCACCATGCCCAGCTTTTTAAAGTGGGTTCAGGGATTGAACTCAGGTCCTCATGCTTGTGCAGCAAGCACTTTACTGACTGAGCCATCTCCAGCCTAGAAGCCACTTCTTGAATTCCATCTTCTAGAAGTTTCCTGGATCTCTGGGGCAGTAGCTGCTTTCTGTAGCCTCAAAGAGCTTCACTCTACCCTCTGCTGTTATCAGATCTCCTCTCTCTGACTCTGACCTTCCTTCCCACTTCTATAAGGACCCAGCTAGGTAACCCAAAATAATCTCCTCATCTTGAGATCCTTAACCCAATCACATCTGAAGTCCCTTCCGCCATGGAAGGTGACATCATCACAACTTCCAGGGATTAGTTGTGGGCATCTTTGGAGGGCCATGACATGACGGTCTGCAGTAACTGCCTAAATGTATTATGACTTGTCAAAAAGATTTGTAATTTGAGTCAACTTTCTAAGTGTAAAGGCTCATATCAATATTGCTGGCACTGGCTTTTGGAGGGCAACTGGGCAATGCTGGTTATGGTTCTAAGACTTCTCTGCCTCCTGTCTTCCCCACATTGTAGGACAGAATTGGTGAGTCCTCCTGTCTTCCCCACATTGTAGGACAGAATTGGTGAGTCCTCCTGTCTTCCCCACATTGTAGGACAGAATTGGTGAGTCCTCCTGTCTTTCCCCACAGTGCAGAGCAGGACTAGTGAGTCCTCACCTTTCCCATCATGTGGGGCAGGGCTGGTGAGTCCTCACTGCCCTACTACAGTAGAGGATGGAATTGGTGAGTCCTCCCGTCTTTCCCCACAGTGCATGGCAGGCCTGGTGATCCCCTCTTGTCTGTCTTTCACTGGTGTTTTAGTCTGAAATAGTCGTTCTCCTTGGGAGTGACCTGGGAGCAGCTCTGAGAGTTTGGGTTGAAAGATTGGGGAGAAGAACAGGGTGGGGGGTGTCTGGGTGCGAGTGGGGGTGATGTAGGGGAAGGACAACCAGGCACACCACAGTTCCGGCAATGGAGTGTGAGCGCACAGCAAGGGTGGGGCAGGGTGGCTCAGAACTGCTGCCTCCTGGAGCCAGGGAGGGCCAGGCTCCTAAAGCTGGGTTACTGGGGACCAACCATGTATAAAGAACAGGTGTCTGTAAGCCAGGGGCAGCCTTCCTAATCTAAGACCCAGGAAGACATTTAGGGCAAGCTGATGTATAGGGCTTGATTACTTCTGCCTCTGTCTGTCTGCACAGCCTCTGACTAGAGATGGCCAGGCTAAAAGCTGCCTCCTCAGACCCAGACATAAAAGTGGATGAGGCACTGAGGTGAGGGACAGCCGGGAAGACTTGGAGTCTAATGACTGAAGAACCACCCTATGCCTAAATGCAAACATCTTGCCGTATAGTTTTCGAGTCAGTTGTTTTTAGAGATAATGTGTTGAGATCAGGGTTTGAAACTTTGGCTGTTGGTATATGCTCTAGAGATAGTGCTGGGCCTAAGTAAAGGGTAGGCCGCACACTATCAATTATCATCAATACCAGGGACGTTTGGAAGCCCTGCCCCACCACCGCTGGTTGTAATGGGAAGCTAAGTCTATAAATGTCATCTAGACATTGCTTTAGCTGCGTCTCACAAGCTAAAGGAGTTATAACTTCATAATCAACCAATCAAAGTGTTGATTGATTTCTATCCAGATTTCTTCTTTGTTGCTTATCTAAAGTATGTACTGCATAAGAGGCTGCGGATATTTTTCCATTAGGAAAGGTTTCAGAGAGATATACTACTAGGATAAAAAACACTTGTAAATTAAAATCCAAGGCTTCTGGCTAAGCATGTACAAGTGACAAAGAAGTGTGCTCCGTTCCCTCCCTGGGGTATGTGTGCATGTGAACTCTTGTATCCTACACACTGACTGAGGTCCTAGGGGTGCTTTCCTGGCCCTTCTCTTCTCTCGCACAACAACCTAGCAAAGCACCCTCCCTCTTCCTCCTTAGGTGTGTTAGCTGTGCTTTCAAGTTGAACAGTCACTAAGTGCCCATTACTGGAGTCTCCTGACCCTTAGCCCAGTTAGGGATGCTGCTGCAAAAAACTTACTGAGCTCCTTGGGAGAACAACAGGAAAATAGACACAAACAGGAAGGTCCTCATCAAACCTTGCTTGGGCTCTGCCCTGTTCACACGCTCTGTCAGAGCATCTATGCCTGACCCACAGAGCCAAGATCGCTCCTCAAACCCTCACTTGGGGACCAGCTCCCCAGCTCCCAGCATCCTCATACTCTCCTCCCTCCCCCCATCCTCTAGAAACTAGTCCCTGATAAATTTGACCCCAGCCAGCAGGCACTTATGAATAACTTGTCCTGAGTGGGGCATGATCCTGGACCCCGGTGAGGCAGGAGCAGTCAGGAAGACCTCCGGCTCTAAGGGCAAGTCCTTTCCTACAGCTGATGCTCTTCTGCATTCAAATCAAACCCAGAACCCTCAGAATGCTTGGGCGTCATCTTGTGGTTTATTGATCCGTGAACAGAACATGTTACAGAAGCAAAGCAGCTATGCGGATCATCTTGACACATTCCCTTCACCCCACAGGGGCATCAGGGCAGTGCTTGGCCTGGAACAACATCAGACCTTTGGACCCAATAGCATAAAAGAGTACAGGAGGCAGGGGCCTGCAGAGTACGTGTGGACAGGAGCTCTGGCCCTGGCTTTAAGGAGGACACTTTGGTTTGGTGACACACTCAAGGATGCTGGGGCAGCCAATGCACAAAGTACAGGCCTGGGCCTGCTCTTGTAAATACTGGGATATCAGGGCACCCTCTGGGGAGAGAGGAGACTTGAAGGTCATGGAGGTCACTCACTCTGTGGACATAGCCTCATAGATCTCCAAGGGAGGCCCTGTGGCCCTGAGTCCACCCTCTTGGCTTTGGGGAGTCCTAGGCTGCTTGACACAGACCTGAATATTAAAAATTTTTCTTTTTCCTTTTACTGTGTCTGCTTCTCCTATGGTTAAAAAGGTTAAGAAAGAAGCAGGCTACTCCATCGTAACCCTGCGCCAGGACCAGAGTCTGCGGTGGTTGCAGTGTGTCAGGAAAGCTCTCAGCCCTTCCACCAAGGAACCCTGGCCAGAGGTGTAGTTGTAAAGGGGTTGCTGCACTATCTGTAGCCCCTTTCTGATCTCAAGACAAGTACAGAGTTGAGTTCCAGAAACCCTGAGCTATGGCACTTTCCTGTGTGCACATGAGGGGGCCCAGAGAGAGTCAGGATGGACAAATGGGGCTGTTCTGATCCCTCATGGACCCTCTGCTCACCATTCCACACTCAGCACGAACCATCCTTCATGCCTTTAATTCCTCTCCCCTTAGTCACCTAGGCCAGCTGGAAGCAGAACATGAGGAGGTCAGGGCGGCCCAGCCAGCCCTGGTGCCCAAGCCTCAGGACCACTGGCAGGCACAGTCCGTGGGCTCCTGCACTGTGTAGGGCACCCAGGTGGCATTGGTGGCACAGAAGAGCTGCACAGAGCGACGCTGCAGCCCCACCTCACGGCAGCACTTGCAGAAGCGGGCATAGGTGTTGATGTTGTGGTTGTAGATGCTGGCGGATGGGCACCTTCCATCACAGGATACCAGGTTCACCTGGGGACAAGCAGGTCAGTGAGACAGCCTGGGGAGTGTCTGGTCCCGGTTCCCCTCCACCCCCATCCTCGTCCATCCCATCACGCACAGGAGTGTTGCTCCTACAGTCGTTCTTGCGGATGGTCATGCGGATGGTCACCTTCTTGCAGGAGCGCCCATCCTCCTTACCTGGGGGCGGGTGGGGGGGGGAAGATGGGAAGGCAAAATAGCTGTGCCGCAGATTGGCATTAGGATGAGTCAGCCTGGGGTGGTTAGTGTCATGCTCAGGTTGGTGCTACCACATTAAAGTCCTCCCCCTGCCCCACCGGCCCTGGGTCAAAACTTTTTAACCCAGTAACGTAGAAGGAGGTGGAGTTAGGGAAGGAGGTGGAGTCAGGGAAGGCAATGAGAAGAGGAACCAGTGAGACAGGAACAATGCCTGGGTCCGCTGGATGGGACTACCATCCTACCCAAGTCCCAACACCTAGCTCTCACCCCTGCTGGGAGCCCTGGGCACAGTTTCACCCCCTCTCTGAGCTTCATTGTTCCTACTCTGAGGGCATCAAGCAGTAAGATGCTGCAGTTTCCTGGGTGAATGGAAGGCTTGGGCCCCAGCAGGATGCTCCGCATAGCAAATTCCACAGGGATTTCATATCCATCCAACAGGGGCAGGCGATAGAGACTGACAACGTAGGAGGAGACTCGGGAGAAGAGGGTTTCCTGGCCCACATCTCTCACAGACAACCATTTGCTCACGTGTTCATTTTTGTTTTAGCTCCTTGAGCCGCTTGTCCCGATGTCGTCCCACTCCCACAGAAGCCTTTTTGGACTCCTCCTTCTTGAAATTGTAGTCCCTTTCCTCCATCCCGCCAACCCCTCCCTTGGCTTCCTTCTGTCCAAGGCACAATGACTACCCTATCAGAGGCACGTTTATAATCATGCTGATGAATCGTAAGCTTGTCAACCTAGGGGCCTTCCTCTTCAGGGGCCTTCCACACTGCACTGCAAGCTCTTTTCTCCTTCTAAATATTCACTTTCACATTTCAGTACTGATTTATGACTCAAAGTCCATCCTGTTGTCTACTGCACTTCTCCTTCCGTCATCCCTAAAATGCAGGCTACAGAGGCCTTCTTCATGTGGTGCCCGCAGCTCCTGGGCCAGTGACTGATACACAGTTGGCACTCATCAACTAGTTGCTGGATGCACTACAACTGGTTCTCTGCAAGCCCAGGGAACCCACCAGAAATCTGCTGGGGAGAAGCTTTTCTTTCAACCTCTGAGACTCAGCTCAGAGAGGCAGGCCAACCAAGGGCTGTCCTGGCTGCAACCCTGAGACTAGCTGTGTGTCCCTCCAGCAGGAGAAAGCGTGGTGGCCTTAGACATGGGGAGGTACCAGGTGAGTGGGAGCTGCGCAAGCCAAGGGGATATGGCTTATTACCCAGCATGCACTCTGGGCCAAAGAGCCTTTGCTAGAGGCATGGGGCCTCCTCATCTACCTAACAGAAGGGGCATGTTGGAAACAGCCATGCAGCTGCCTGCCTCCAGTCCTGTGGGCTTCAAAGGGAAGTACCTGAGGGGCAGTGGACACTAATGCATGGAGGTAAGGCTGACAGGGACCATGGAAAACATGGTCCTCAGAAAACTGAGAGGGACATAGGCCTCAGGTCACATGGAGGCACACAGACATTCAGGGAGCCTGAGATTGTGGGTCAGCCACTATGGTCTAGAGCCAAGCTTACAGTAGGTAATACTGACATAAAGGGGCTGAAATTCTGTAGTTCTCCGTGGACAGGGTCTGAGCATCCGTACAAGGAGGATCAGCATGTGGACAAAGGTCACGAGCCTTATTGGTCTGTTCACCCATATGTGGTTGATTCTGGTGCTCAGGGTCCAGGAGCCAAGTGTGAGTACAGAGCTCTCTGTGACAGGCCAGGTCTCCATCGAAGAATCAACATGGGGAACATGTGGGCTGGAGGCCTTATGGACAGAAGGAGGCAGGATGACTGGGAGTGTCTACAGTCCTTTATTTCCAGTGAGAAGCAGAGGCCTTGTATTGGGACAGAACTCATGAACATGTGGCCTCTGGCCACCTGCCTGTTTGTGCCCATGGCGTGGGCCTCATGTCAGGTCACCCACTCCTCTACTCACCCTAAAGAGCTGACATCATAGGTGCCAGGCTGAGAACATGGCTCTTTGGTCATCTTGTCCTCCCACCCCTGACCCCTGGGTCTTCACCACACCCACTCACATGTCCTGCAGCATCCTTCCAGGGATGGTACTACAGAGCCCCCGACCTAGAGGGAGAGAAGGGAGAGTGGGTGGGAGGACTTCTTTTCCAGGCCAGGAGCCAAGAGCTCAGTGATAGGCAAAAACAGTCTCAGAGAACCCAGCATAGTGTCATATGTCTATAATCCCAATACTTAGGAAGCAGAAGTAGGAGGTGATCCACAAGTTCTAGGCCAGCCTGGTCTATGTAATGAATTCTGGGTCACCCAGGGCTACCAAGCAAGACCCCATCTCAAAAACTAACTAAATAATAAATAGAGTCTAAGAGACTGTTTCTTCCACGATGCCCCAAGGCAGGAACTCTAGACTCTGGGCAGGAACAAGCAGGCCAGAGGTGCCAACCTGACTGCTGAACAGCTGGTACAGGGCTCCCTAAAGCCCAGGCAAGGTTGGAGCCTGGGTGAGGATGGGGCAGGCCCAGGGGTTGAGGCGCTGCTTTCCTGTGGCAGCTCCCCTCAGACTCCTCTATAGGAAAGAGGAAGATTTGGGGAGATCAGAGGATCAGGGCTGGAGGAGTGCAGGGATGACCTACTTGGGTCAGTGGCCTGAGCTGTACCTCAGACAGATAAGTCTTCCCTCTTTCTTGGGTTTAGATTCCATCTCTGAAATGGAACTAAGTACCCTCGCAGACCTCCTCCTCCATTACACCACAGGTAAAAAAAAATGATTTGAACAGTTCTTTGCAAATAACTGTGTTAGGGAGTGGGTGGGGTGTCAGTCTATGTGTGTGAGGGTATGATCATGTGTGTGTGTGTGTGTGTGTGTGTGTGTGTGTGTGTGTATGTGTGTGTGTGTGTGTGTGTGTATGTGTGTGTGTGTGTGTGTGTGTGTGTGTGTGTGTGTGTTATTTGAGACAAAGTCTCAAGTAACCCAGGCTGACCTTGAACTTGCTATATAGCGGAGGCTGACCTTGAACTTCTGATCTGCCTGCTCTACTTCCCAAGTGTTGGGATTACAGCCATGGACCACTACGCCCAGTTTTAGGTGGTGCTGGAGAGTGAACCCAGGGCTTCCTGCATGTTAAGCAACCAACTGAGCTACATCTCTAGCTTTGTGTGTTTGTAATCTAAAAAAGATGCAGAAATCTTCACATATCCATTAATCTTAGCAGCCTCATCAGTTCAACTATAATCCCCCAGTCCCCTAGGAATCCTTTGCTTTGAGCTGTATCCATAAAGACAGCCATCTATACCAGGCTGGAGAGCTGTAATCCTATCACAGGACTAAACTATGCACCTGCACGGTACGTGTGTGTGCAAGAGTGTGCTTATCTGATGGCTTTGGGGTGTGTCAGTGTGTGGTGTGTACAATGGCATGCTGAGTGTATTAACGTCTCTATGGAGTATGAGTGGCCAATGATCTGTGATGGGTCCTGGAACAGGTGACAGTGTGTTTGCATGCCTTGGTATGTAGTCACATGATGTGTGCAGGTGTCCGTTGTGAAGTGGATCCAACAACATAAATAGACGTGAATTTGGGGTGCAGTACAGACACAGGCTGCAACACACAGGACTCTGGTCCTGCTCCTCCAACTAGTGAAACTGCGATGCCCAGGCCCGAGGCTGGCTGTAGAGGGAGGAAGCACTGACCTTGACACACTCTGTCTCGTTGAGCGGGGGACAGCTGATGGGTGAGCGGACAAGTACTGCACCCAGGGGAGTGCTGCCGCAGTGGTGGCGGGCACAGTCTGCGATCCAGGATGCTCCAGGCTGGAGAGTACAGAGGTGGGCAGTGGGGGCTCCTGGTCAGTTGGACAGCATGGCCTGAGAACATGCACAGCCCATCTATACTGAGCCCTGGTCTGAGGTCTAGAGAGGACCCTGTTCCTTTCTAGGACTCCCTTCCCATGTGGGCTCAGGGGCTGCTTACCATGAACAGGGAGGTGGTGCCATTGGGAAAGGTGAATAGGCAGGACACATTCCTGCAGGAGCCACAGCAGGCCGCCAGATCCCGAGGGTGCTCGTACTCCTGGTTCTGACAGCCAAAGCAGGGTGAGTGGCATCACCCTTGTGCCCATCTGCACCCTATGTCTATTTACTGTCTGCCTGTCTCTGAGGAAGCCCAGGCCCTGAGGAGGGTCCCTGTAGGTGCTCAGGAAGGGAACGTCCCAGCCTCCCTCTCTCTTGGTCAGGCAGGCATATCACCCTGGTCTCTGCTGGAAGCTCCATTAATGTCAGGTTCAGCTCCAGCCCCAGGGAGCAAGGTACCTCCTCCCTCCCACACTTGGCACTGTGGTCATCACTGTGCCATTTGGAGTTCCATACAGACCCCAATTTGAATCCCAGTTCCTGTGGGACTTATAAGCAATTCAACCTCCCTAATTTCACTTTTTCCATTGAAAGATGGATATAATTCTAATGCTTTTTATTGAAGTAATAGTTATTTAGCCCTTTGTAGAAACCAGGCTCTGCCATGGGTACCTCATCTATAGAACCTGACACATGGTAGTAACACACACATAAGCATCCAAAGCACAGGGAAAGTGCCCAGCATTCACACACTTAATAAATGTGTGTCCCCCCTGCCACACTCCTACCTTCCCAGGCCTCTGCTCTGTCCCTTTGCTCGGCCATTCCCCTCCCGGCCTCTCCTAGCTGGGCCCCTTTCTACAGAGGTCTCTGAAGGCCACTCTGATGCCCACTCGCCAGGCAGACAGAAACCTATGGGGGATCAGGCCACCCTCCTGTTCCCATGCCCTCTGTACTGCCCCTACCGCCTCACAGTGCACGTCACAAAGCACAGAGGTGATGTTGATCTGGTAGAAGCTGGTGAGGGGGTCCAACACGTCCGTGCAACGAGAGGTGTGGCACACGCCATCCACGGACAGCTCCACCACTGTCTGCCCTGGCTGCATCACGCCCAGCTCTCGGCTCAGGCACACAGGGGCCTTCACTGGGTGGGTGGACAGGAGGAATGATCCTGGAGAGCTCAGCCACATACCCTAGCCTCACCCAGCTGGCTCACCTGAGGTTCCCCCGCCCTGGCTCTCCCCATTGCCTCCCCTTTTCCACTCACCACACTTGTACTTGGCGCAGCCACACATGTTCTCCACGCTGTGCATGAAGTCCTCGTCCAGCTGGGACTTCTCCCACTGGGGGAGACAGGGGTGGTTAGCACCAGGAGTAGGGGCCCAGCCCCACCCCGATGAACAGTCTGTTACCCGTACCCTCTGTGTGCAGTGGGCAGGAGGGAGTTGGTGTATCTGGGGACCCTGGGCATCCTGGAAACTCAATTACTCTCTCCACTCCCCAGGCTCCTCCCCTCAGCAGGGACCATGCTCAGCTGCTGGCACAGAGCCCTGCTTGGCTCACACCTTACCTACTTCCCAGCTTTCTTTATCAGTTTCAGGAAAAAGAAGAAGGGATGAGGGACAGAACAAGAAATATGCGCTAGAGCAAGATGAGGAATATATAATCCAGAAACAATGTCCATCACTTTACATTTTCAAGCATTTACACACACACACACACACACACACACACACACACACACAGCCATGCAGTATGGAGGTTAAGGGTATACTCTCCCTGGAATCAGAGCTCTGGATTCCAGTTCTGGCTCTGTGATTTACAAGCTTCATGACCTTTATCTCAGCTCCCTTGTTTACGTATTTTGAGACCATCACAGAATCATCTCTTGGGGTTGTTATAAAAAATAAAATGAAGTTTCAGGGGAACTGATGCCCTCTTCTGGCCTCCACGGGCATTGCATACACATGGTGCACTTACATACATGCAGGAAAAACACTCATTCATATAAAATAAAAATAAAATTGCTGGACATGGTGGTATATGCCTTTAATTGCAACACTTGGGAGGCAGAGGCAGGCAGATCTCTGTGAGTTCAAGGCCAGCCACCATCATCACCATCTTCACTACCATCAACACCTTCACCACCATCACCATCTTCACCATCATCATCAATCATCTTCACCATCATCACCATCTTCCCTACCATTAACACCTTCACCACCATCACCATCTTTCCCACCATTATTACCATGTTCACCACCATTACCATGTGACCATCACTATCATCATCATCACCATGTTCATCACTATACTTATCACTATTGCCCTCTTCCCCACCATCACCATCTTCATCATCACCATCGTCATCTTCATCACCATCACCATCTTCCCCACCATCACCATCTTCATCACTATCACCATCTTCCCCACCATCACCATCTTCATCACTATCACCATCTTCCCCACCATCACCATCTTCATCACTATCACCATCTTCCCCACCATCACCATCTTCATCACTATCACCATCTTCCCCACCATCACCATCTTCATCACTATCACCATCTTCCCCACCATCACCATCTTCATCACTATCACCATCTTCCCCACCATCACCATCTTCATCACTATCACCATCTTCCCCACCATCACCATCTTCATCACTATCACCATCTTCCCCACCATCACCATCTTCATCACTATCACCATCTTCCCCACCATCACCATCTTCATCACTATCACCATCTTCCCCACCATCACCATCTTCATCACCATCTTCATCACCATCACCATCTTCATCACCACCATCACCATCTTCATCACCATCACCATCTTCATCACCATCACCATCTTCATCACCATCACCATCTTCATCACCACCATCACCATCTTCCCCACCATCACCATCTTCATCACCATCATCATCTTCCTCACCATCACCATCTTCATCACCATCACCATCTTCCTCACCATCACCATCTTCATCACTATCACCATCTTCATCATCACCATCACCATCTTCCCCATCACCATCTTCCTCACCACCATCACCATCTTCCGCACCATCACCATCTTCATCATCACCACCACCATCTTCCCCACTATCACCATTTTTACCACTGTCCATCTTCCCCACCATCACCATCATCATCTTCTTCATCACTATCATAACCACCTTCATCATCTTCACCATCCCTACCATCTTCTTCACCACCTCCACCATCACCACCACCATCTGCAGGATCAGTGTACTTATTTTTCAGCACAACTCTGAGGTGTGATGAAGCCCATTCTTCATAAAGGAGATGCAGTGCCCAGAAAGCCAGGAGCAGAGCTTGGGACACATATGTTGATCAAAACCCAAGGCTCTTTGCATAGATTAAAGGAAGAGTCTCCAGGGGAGGGAAAGAAGAGAGGAAAGGTAAAGAGTAGATCATCAAGGGTAGAAAGGGTCAGGGTCTCCATACCAGATGACATCTGGGCACTGGGATTGAGTCACAGTCACACTCTGAAAAACAGGAGAGGCCAGAACCTACCTCACCAAGGGTGCAAAGTCCCCTGGGGAGTCCTTTCACTGCAGACCAGCCCCTCTTATAGCACAGCTCCAGCCTAGCCCAGCACAGCCCAGGGAGCTAGATGGGCAGCAAAATCTCAGCTTCCCTTCATCCCCATATGGGGGCCACGGCTTTCCTGCTCCTCACTGGGTGTTAAATGAGGTTAAGCAGGCAGATGGAGATGGCTCACAGGTTTCCCTCCATCCCTCAGGTTCATCCCTCACCCTAGAAAGGTGTCATGATGCCAAGGGCAAATAGAGTTTCTCAACTTTAAAAAATTATTGTATTTATTATTTTCATTTTGTGTGTATGTGTGTATCGCCTGCATGTAGGTAAGTGCACCCGTGTCGTGCAATGCCCGTGGAGGTCAGAAGAGGCTGACGGATCCCCTGGGACTGGAGTTACAGTTGTTAGCTGCCATGTGGGTGCTGGGATTTGAACCTGGGTCTTCTGCAAGAACAACCAGTGTTCTTAACTGCTGAACCATCTCTCCAGCCCCGAGTTTCTCAATTTTTTAAAAATAATGTCTTATGCAAAGCTCAATGCTTTTCACTAGTGATCACTGATAGTCCTGTCTACCTCTCAAAAGAATCTGAACACACAGATCATGTGTACTATCGGGCAGTTGCAAGAATGACTTTTTGAATGGGAAACCATTTGTGATCCTGTAGAGAAAGATGTCGGGTTACTTAGCACTGAATGAGGCAGGAGGAGAAAGCTCCCTGCAAGACCTGGGGTGGGGGGTGGGATCTCAGTGAAGCTGTCAGTGGTGGGGGCCCTTTCCTCCACCCATACCTGACTGGAACTTACCACAGGACTTGTAGGGGCAGCAGCGGTCTGGGCTCCATACCTCTACCAGGGAAGTGCCCATGCCACACTGCACCTGAGGGCAGCGGAAGCTCTCACACACTGGGGTGCACAGAGTGGGGGACACAGGTGACAAATTAGTGTCAGTTGCCTCAGACTTGTGCAAGCTTAGGATGCGGCACTGGCTGGGTGGGAATACCTCCCAACTCCACCTTATGCCCCACAGTGGACCCAGATACCCCCAGGGCAAAAGTCTCCCAGAGCTACTTTAGGAGGCCTTGGTGCCCCTTCCCAGGTGGCCCTGCGTGAGCTGTCCGGGACTCACCACACTGGTACAGAGGGCAGCAGAGCTCTGTGGTGTTCTTGTGCACAGTGAGCGCCTCCCCTTCCTGACACTCGGGGATGGGATCTGGACACTCACCACAGCCTGAAGAGGAAGAAGGTCACCACTGTCGTAGAAGTCACAGAGGTGGAGGGTTTTCAGGGATGGGGTGGGGCGCTTCAGCTACCCAAAGCAGCATTTTGGAATCTCAGGTGACTCCCCCTGTCAATAGAACCCAGACTGCCTGGCCCTGAAAACATGCCAGTTTCTCAGGCTCAGTAACCTAGGGGCAACACATGCAGGGTTTCCTCTTCTTTCCACGCTGCTTTCTGGCTGGTGTTTTCAGCCTCCTCCCTCTGCCTCTCACACAAACACCCCCAGCCTTTCCTATAGCCACCTATGGACCTGGGAACAAGGAGGGGCCAACATGAGGCCCCAGTTACCCACCACAGAAGTAGGACATACAACAGGAGTCCCCCAGGCGTCCAGCGATCAAAACCTGGTCCTGGCGGCAGCTGGGGACCAGCTCTGCCTCACACAGAGCAGGGTCACACTCTGGGAAAGAACAGAATATAAGCGCTGACAGCAGGCCCTGCCCAGTCTCCGGCCAGAACCTCCAGCTCACCACCTGCTTCTCAGGTCCACCCCCTCAATCTCCTGCCCCAACCTCTCACCGCAGCTGTAGCTGGGGCAGCAGGAGTCCTCCTGGAAGTGGGTGACGAGACTGTGGCCTGGGCGGCAGGTGGGAGCAAGACCCTCACACAGAGTCTGGTTACACACTGGGCCAAGTGCAACACGACTTGTCACCTGGAGGCCAGGTGTCCTCTCGGCTTTCCATCACTGTAGGACACCTGGGCTCCTAACACGCCCCCATCTCCCATTCCTGAAAAGTTGCCTCTCAAGGTCCCACAAGGATGGGACAGAAGAGAGACAGACACTCATCTAGATGTGTCATGTACTGGCTGCCTTCAAGTTAATATTAACATCTGCATGCCAAGGTTCCCAAGTTGGGTGCTACAAGCAGCTAGCTGAACAGCCTCAAATTGCGGGAGAGCATGCGGTGTTAGTGATTTACAGAGCCTACAAGAAAGCTGCCGAGGTGCCAGCCAACCCTGTGCTTTTCAGCCCCACCCACACCAGCCCACGCCTCAGCTCCTGTACCCCAAACCTGGTTCTCCACTTCCCCCAGAAAACACCCCAAAAGATGTTTTACTTTTTCCAGGCCTTACCCCAGTTGTCAAGGTTTTCCAGTGATGTGGAACCAGCTACCTGTCTTACAGTTGAAGGCCAGAGAAGTAAAGAGTAGAACTCACCACAGACACTCCCTGGGCAGCAGGGATCTTCTGTAGGCTGGAGCAGGATCACCTCTCCAAAGCGCGGGCAGCTCTCAGGCCGGGGACCAGGGCAGTCCAGGTCCACAGAGATGATGGTGTCTGGGGCTTGACACTGCTGCTGGCAGCAGCCGCTGAGGGAGCTGTTCCAGGTTTCTCCCAGTGCCCGTGGCACCCCTGTGCTGTCAGTGCAGGCTGCAGCGAGGGCACGTGGGGGTTCAGGGGGACTAAGGAAGGAAGGCAGGACCAGACTGTACCAGGCTAGGACCTCTCCACCCAGAACATGGACCGCCCCAAGGCAAAACTGGAAGGATGTAAAGTGGCCCCAGCCACATGCAGTAGAATGCAAAGGAGGCCCTAATGTGAGACCCGGCCCGGGGCCCCACTTGAAGAGGAGAGGGACTTACCGCACTTCTCCTCCGGGATGCAGAGTGCAGAACGGCGTCGGTGCAGAATGGTGCCTTCAGAACACACACAGCCCTCCCCCAGTACCTGGCACTGCTCTGGATCCAGTGGACCCAGTAGCCCATCCTGGCACGTTGTAGGGGGTTCACAAGCCTTCACACATGCCTGGTAAGTGGAGTCACTGGAGCACAGAAAAGCTGCAAGGGTACAGGGAGGCATGAGGCCTAGTGCCGTATCCAGGCAGGGATCCCCACTGAGGACTGTCAGTGTAAGAACAGAGGGGGACAGGGGATGGGTGCAGAGCATCCTCTCACCTCAGGAGTGCTTGCCTAAGGCAGGGTCTTAGCATTGAACCCCCTTCCTTGGCAACAAAGAGTGGTCCACAGACCAAATACTGTTTATTGTATGCTTTGCGAATAAAGTTTTAGTAGAACACAGATGTGCTTGCTCATTTTTGTGTATTTTGTTGTTGTTTTGTTCTTTGTTTTAGTTTTGTTTTGAGACAGGGTTTCACTCTATAGCCCAAGCTGGCCCCAGAGGATTACACATGGTAATCCTCCTGGCTCAGCCTCCCAAGTGCTGGGATTAACAGGTGTCAGCCACCATGCCCTATTCATTTATATATTGTCTATGACTGGTTTTGAACTACAGGGATAGAACTTAGTCCTCAGACAGAGGCCACACAGCTTGCAGAGCCTCAGTAGTCACTATTTGGCTATTTTAAGAAGTTTACCAACCTCTGGGCAAGTGTTTTTCAATTGTCTTAACTGTAAAAAGTGGATTTGGGGATGTGGTCCAATACACACAGCATATGCAATAGTGGCCCACAAGCTTCCTGCAAGAATCCATTGGGTGTCTTGGAAATCCCATTTCTGGGACCCCATCCCCCCACCAAGAGAACCTCTGAGGGGACCCAAACATGGACACTCTTTGAAGTTCCCTGTGTGACCAGCTAGGATTGAGAATTGCTGCTGAACTGAAACAAAAGATCTTCCCGCGTGTAATGCACACTAATATTTTGTATTCTGTTGCAATGTAAAAATGCTGCTGCTGTGTTCCCCAAACTGATTTCATACCCTCTGCATCATGGTCCACAGACTGAAAAATACTACTCTGTGTACATTCTGTCTTTTCCTCATCTGTCATATAGAGTTGTGGTCTTCCCAGGAACCATTCCCAGCCTCTCTGGAAACCAAACTGCTCCAGCCCAGGCCACCTCTGCCTTCCCTAACCACTAAAGGAATGGAGGCAAAGAGGCAGATAGATCTCATTTCCATCCTCAAGGAAGCATGAAGAGACCCACAGAAGAGAAAGATGAACAAAAGGTTAGCCAAGGGAACTATGGGCCAGTAATCAGGTGACAGGAGATGTGGGGCACTCTACACAGGTTATCTCCTACTGACTCAAGACTCTCTAAGAGGGAACAGTCATCACTGTGCCCACTTTATAGGGCAAGGACTCAAATTAATAAAAAATAAAGTATTGCTTATTTTCATGAATATGAATAGAAACCAATTTGTTCATTAACTGATATCAAATACATAATGTGTATAATATAAAATTTAAATACAAATGTAAAATATTTACAAACTTATATAGTCAATGAATGAAGAAATGCCTGAACTTGGGAAAGTATGGACTTACACTTGGCTCTGGGAGCCCCTTCATACACTAATGAGATGGGAACAGCAGTTCCACAGGAGGAGACGCCCAACCCGCACTCACGGCAGTAGTCGGAGCCCCGCCATTCAATGCACACGTGGAATTTATGGCACATAGCCACATACACGGTCAGTGCCACACAGGGCTGCTGCACGTACTTGGTGTCCCGGATCCACAGCTCACAAAATAACTCTGGGGGGACCTGGGAAAATGCATTTGGCAGTGCTGCCCATTTGGCACCTGATAACCCAGGACAGAACCCAGCCCTGCTCAGAAGACCATTGAGCTCCTGTAGACGGCTGCTGCCCTCCCCAGCCCAGGACTTCCCCCCATGCCAGACTCTGTGGGCACCTACAAATCGGTGACAGTCACTGAAGGTGCGATTGGACACCATGCGGAGGCAGGGTGAGCAGTCAGCTGTGGCACAGCTATCTGGGCGGAAGCGGGTCTGGCCCTCTGATGTCAAGGAGCTGGGCACTTGCCAGCTATCCAGAAAGGACGCAGGGTCCTCTGCCTCACCCACCACAGAGCCATCCTTCAGGGTGAAGTCATTGGCTGCATCTCCATCACAGATACCTGAAAGGGGCAGAATAATCCCAGTAGTCGCAAAGCTCTCTATCACACCATGGCCTCTCACTCTGAGTGCTCATCACAACTTGGTACTGCTGCCCTCCACGGGATAGATAAGGGACATGAGGCATGGACAGCCCGCAGACCTGCTCTGTGGGCAGCGACTGTCCTTAGGAAGTGCACACCAAAGCATTTCGGAATAAAAGGGCATAAGGTCTTGAACTTACTTTCAAATGGTTCAGAAATGCATACACACTACACACGTGTATATGCTACATATAGGTATATATTATGTGTGTATTGAGAGAGAGAGAGAGAGAAGCAAGTGAGGCAAAATGTGAACAATGGTTACATCTGAGTAAAAGGTAATGGGTAATCCATTATTTTTCAACTTCTGTATCTGACATGTTGAAGTGAAAAGTTATGCCCACAGAATCTGCTTTACTAGAGATTTCTATCTAATTTTAACACCTATTCCCTTTCTTTCTGGAGTCAGTCCACCTGTTTTTCCCAGCCTCCCTTGCAGTTGGGTGTGCCCATGTGACTGAGCCCCGGTCCATGGCATGTGGAAGGTGAAGGACACCACTTTTAGCCCTGGTCCATAGATACTACACGGCCCTCTTCCCTCTGTGGAGTTGGAAGCTCACACTGAGCATTGCAGAGCCACAAGATGGAAGGACTCTGGGACTCTGGCTTATGGTTGGTTGTTTGGGAATTTATGTGCACTGGAAATAAACTTATGGTGTGTTAGGCCCTGGGATGGAAGCAAGGATGTGGCTTCTCTGCTACAACTTCTTTTTTGAGACAGGGTCTCCCTATAGCTCCAGCTGGCCTAGAACTCCCTTATGTACACCATGCTGGCCTCAGTCTCAGAGATCTGCCCACCTCTGCTTCTGCCTCTGCCTCCCAAGTGCTGGGTTGAAGGTGTGTGCCACATACCCAGCCCTACTACAACTTCTGAGGTGACTGTACGTTCCCCTCCATCTCTCACACACCAGGTCTGTAGGCTCCAGATATGCTTTTTCTCGCCTGTGATTTTGCTTGTGTTGTTCCTCCTGCCTAGAGTACTTCCTCAGATGTCCTTTCCCCCAGGTGCCACACATCCACCCACCCATGACCGTCTCAGGTCTGCTAACAGCAGCTAGCTTGCAAGTGTGTCTTTTACAAAGGATTTTAGCTGAGTTCCAAGATGTTTCCCTTCAGATTCTCACTGTTGCCTAGCAGGGGGTCCGGTGTATGTATCAAGTGTTAGTTCAGACAAAACGGGCATGCAAATGATCTGACTTCTGTTCTGACATCGCCCATCACTACTTCTGTGAACATGAAGCATTATTTGAGGCAAAATATGTCGATTTTATTAGCATCCCCAATAGCCACATTTTGGGTCTGAGTTTTGAGTCACCAAGAGGTGTTGCAAAGGTATCCAAGGGAGGACCTGGCCTGCCTGGCTCCTGTTGTCTTCACCAGGGATGAGCACAGGATGATAGGAAAGGGGAGAAAAAGGAAATGGTGATGATGGTAGTGGATGGTGGCTGTGGTGATGGTGGTGGTGATAGTGATAGTGATGGTGGTAATGGTGGTTGTGGTGATGGTGATGGTGGGGGGAGTGGTGATGTGGTGGTGGTGGTGGTGCTGTGTGAAAGTAAAGCTGTGTTTATCGATAAGACATAAGACAGTATTTTGCCTATTTGTTCTCCAGTGGTTGGTACTTAAAGGGCGGAGAGAAAGAGAGTGCCCATGCCACACACCTTCACAATCATGGCAGTCTGTCATGGAGTGTCTCTGCAGGAAGCAACTGTGCTCTGAGGAGCCCTAGCTGTATATGTCATGGCAGCTCTGTCACATGCCCACAGACAGTCATTAGACCTCTCCAAGTCCCTGTTCATCTCTGGTTCAGTGGAGATATTAAGGGCCACCTTTGAGGACTGCTGTGTGGGTGACCTGGGGTAACTGTGCTCAGAGAGTAGAAGTGCCTGGTGAAGGGCCCCAGCACAGCCCCACCTAGAGGCTGTCAAGGCGCTGACAGACAAACCTGGCTTAAGTCGAAACTGACAAGGGAGCCCTGTGCTATCTCTTTGCTAACAGCTTCAACCCCAGAACATTAACATTAGGCTTCCTTGCCCTGGCAGCTCTATTGGTTCTATCTCTGGCCTGGTACCATATCCAACATTTACTGGTATAGGGAAAACTGTCTGGTGACAGAGATAGACCAGGGAAGTACTCCCCTCCCACAGCTGGGTCCCACCTCACCACACAGGCCACGGCCCTGGGCCTTGCTGGCTTTGCTGGTCTCCAGAATCATGAGTCCTGAGCTGTGGAGCCACTGGATCTGGATGTGTGAGGGCGTCCAGACTATATACATGTGGCCTGTATCCTCAATTTGGAACCCATACCTGCTTATGGGTGGCCACGCGATCTGCGAATCCACAGTTACCTTGAGGGATAAGGAGTTCAATGTGAACACAACTTTCTACCTGCCTACAAACCCAACCATCCATTTAACTCATCTAACCATTTATCCAACCAGCCACCCACCAATACCCCCATCTTATCTACTCACCTACTCGTATATCCTTCAGTGGATCCATCCATTCAGCCATCCATCTGTTCATCCAATCATCCATCCACCCATCCACCAATTCACCCATCTGTCTATCCATCCATCCATCTGTCTACCCCCCACTCACCCATCCATCTTTCTATTCATCCATCCATCTACCTATATATCCATCAATGGATCCATTCACCCACCTACTCATCTATCTATCTATCTATCTATCTATCTATCTATCTATCTATCATCTATCTATCTATCATCTGTCATATATCTATCATATATCTTCTATCCATCCATCCATCCATCCACCCACCTACTCATCTATCCATCTTTTCATTATCATTCTGTCCATCTGTTATCTGACATTCACTAGGCACCTAGAGTCAGGCTGTGTTTTGGGCACATGCATGCAAGACATAGTCCAATATAGCATGGATGAATTCTGAAAATATTTTTATGAGAATACCCCAAAAAAAATCAGAAATGCCACGACAGTAGGCAGACTGCCTCTCACTGTCTGCGTTAACACAAACTCTTAGCCCTTCTAAACATTTCCTTCTTTCCTGATCCTGCTCAGATAATTTCTTCAGGAAGGTTTTCTCTAAATTCAAGTTTTGGGAGTTAAGTACTCCTTTTCTGGGATCAGCTTACCTCTGTACTGACCCTTAAGAAAGAAATTATCTGTCCTCTAGTCAAAGTTACTAGTAGTTTATTATTTTCTTCAGGGAAAAAAACCTGCCTGATTCTTTGACTTCTCAGCACCTTCCTTTGGGTTTGGCATCATTTAGGGGTTCAATCAATATTTAAGTTTTCAACACACCCGGGTTCCTATAAATACTTTAAATTCAAGGCTATAACAACTATTACAAATTGACAAGGTTAAAATGGATATAACATGGATTAAAAATTAAGTTTTATGCTATAAAACTAAAAGAGGGAAAAGATTAAGATCATAAAATATTTATTTTGATTTACCCTTGTGCCTCCAAGAAAAGATTATTCTATTAATCATTCTGAAAATTATCTAGTGCGTGAATTACTGCACTGGGGTAAAGGAGCCTCTGCTCGGGAGTCAGAAAACTGTGACTTCCATAAAGTCCAGCTCTCTTATAGCCCGAGTCCTCCTATTGTGCTGAGAGAGGCTTAAGCTCTGTGATCCACGGGCACTCACCAGGTCACGAGAGTGCACATACATATCTGAAGCTCAGAGAGCTGGCTTGTGTCCGAAGCAGAAATACAGCCCTAAACCTTCCTATAAGGAGCAATGGGATGGAGGCAATCATAAAAAGTCTCCCAACAAAAAAAGCCCAGGACTTGACAGATTCATTGTCAAATTCTGCCATAACTCTAAAGAACTAATACCAGTGGTCCTCAGACAATCCCACAAAGGGAAGGATGCTGCCAAACTCATTCCATAAAGCCAGTGTTACTCTAATACTACGGATCTGACAAAAACGTATAAGCCAATTTCCCTCACAAATATACACAAAGATCTCAACAAAACACTTGCAAATGAATTCAATAGCACATTAAAAATATACACCATGATCAAGTTAGTTTCATTTCAGAGATGCAAGGATGGTTCAGTATATGTAAGTTAATAAATGTAATACAGTACATAAACAGACTCTTGGACAGAAATCACATGATCATTGCAATAGATGCAGAAGAGATCTTTGACAGAGTTCAACATCCTCTCACAACAAAAGCCCCGAAGAAGCTAGGAACAGAAAGAACACGCCTCAACACAGCACATGCTGCCTGTTAAACCTATGCCAATATTATATAAAATGGGGAACAATTCGTCTAAAATCAGGAATAAGCAAGGGCATCCACTCCCTTCACTCTTATTCAATATCGTGCTTAAAGTCATTGCCTGAGCAATAAGGCTAGAGAATGAAAAAACAAGGACGCAAATAAAAAAGGAAAAAATCAAATTATTCTTATTTGCAAACAGTATAATCCTATGCTTAAAACACCCCAAAGACTCTACCAGAAAGCTCTTAGATTTGATAAATACTTTCAGCAAAGCAGCACGATACAAAATCAACATGCAAAAACCAGTAGTTTTTCTGTACAACAATATCAACCATATTGAGAAAGAAATCAAGGAAACAATTCCATTCACAATAGTGTCAGAAAGAAAAAACAAACAGAAATAAACTTGGGCAAGGAGACAAATAACTGTACAATGAAAACTTTAAAACGTTAAAGAAAGAATAGAAGACAGATGGTAGAAAGACCTTCTGTGCTCATAGACTGGCAGTGGGGCATTTACTATGTAAGGCCACATCTCAGTGATGCTTAAATAAAGACAGCCTGACTCTAGCATCCAGTTTTTGACCGAGGGCAGACCCAAACTGCTGAGAACCTGTTCCTTCAGAATTCTCTCAGAATTGTGCTTCTGAAAAAGGGCCTGCTCTTTGTTTTATTGAGAAAGTATTTCTATCATGAAATGGGGAAGTAAAAGTCAGATCCTTATCTTATCAGAGAATTTTGTCCTTTCTGATCCCTAGCCCTAGACCAATACACACACACACACACACACACCCATGAACAGACATTATCAACTGAATCCCGTCTATTGTTTACAACAGAATTGAGTAATTCATATCCTTGTTTTGATATTCACTATATCCATCCACCCATACATACAGTATTCTAGGTCCAGGGCATGGAAGGGTCATGAGGAACTAAAGCTATGTTTAGGTTACAAGAGGAGCTCAAGGCTCAGTGAATCAGTGAAGAAAAAATTAGCTTTTGGGTTTGCAAAGTGATGTAAAAGTCATTTGTCCAGAGTATTTCCATATTGTAAAAGTCATTCCTATATGACAGAATTCACATTGTGAAAATGGTTGTATTACCAAAAGTAATCTACAGATTCAGTATAAGTCCCATCAAAATTCCAATGACGATCTTTAGAGAAAGAGAAAAACATTCTTAAAGTTCACATGGAAGCACAAAAGTCTCTGCATACCCAAAGCACTGGAGGTATTACACTTGATTACAAGTCATACTACAAGGCTATAGTGATTTAAAAACAAAATCGTGGTACTGGCACAAAACCAGACACATAATCAATGGAACAGACTAGAGGAGCCAGAAATAAACTCACATAGCTACAGCCACTCGATTTTTTACAAAGGTTCAAGAAAATACATTGAAGAAAAGAGCCTCTTCAACAGATAATGCTGAGAAAACATTATCTCCACATACGGAAGAAGAAACTTGATTATTATCTCTCCTTGTATAGAAATTGATTCAAAATAATCAAAGACCTTAATATAAGATGTAAAAATTTGAAATGCTAGAAGAAAACATGGAAAATGCTTCCAGAAACAGGCAAAACTTTCTGAAAAGGACTCTAGTAGCCCTAGAAATAATACGAAAATTAACAAATGGTTTTATATCCAATTAAAGAACTTCTGCACATGGAGGAAAGCAATTACCAGAATGAAGATGCATTTTGCAGAATAGGAGTGAGTCTTGTCTTGCCATTCATCTGAGAGAGAATCAGTACTGAGACTATATAAAGAACCTCCCAAAAATCAAACACACACACACACACACACACACCAAGCCATCTAGTCAATAAATAGGAAAATAAATTGAACAGACAGTTCTTAAGAGACTAGCCAAGAAATATATGACAAAGTATTCAATACTGTCAAGGAAATGCAAATCAAAAAGAGACTGAGATTCCACCTCACCACAGCCAGGATGGCTATCACCAAGAAAACAAACAACAAAGGCAAGGGTGCATCGGGGGTTGGGAAAGAAATCTCGTACGCTTTGGTTGGAATGTAAATTATTCCAGACACTGCGGGAACCAGCATGGAGGTTCTTAAAATACAAAACCCCAAATTAACTACCATATGATCAAGGAAGGAACCTAAGTCATCAGCATAAAGACCTTGCACATCCACGTTTATTGCAGCCATTCCAAACAGCCAAGATATGGGACTAGCCTAGATGTCCAACAATAGATGACTGAACAAAGAAAACTGTGTGTGTGTGTGTGTGTGTGTAAACTGGAGTTTTTTCTGCCATAAAGAAGCATGAAATTATGTACTTTACAGGAACATGGATGATAAACAAGAGTCAGAAAAACAAATAACATTTCCTCTCATACATGGCTTATGTGTGTTTGTGTGTATATATATGTAGATTATAGATTATATATTACATGAAAGCAGAAAGGGGACTGTTTGGGAAGAGAAAGGTCCAGTGAGAGGTCAGAGAGGATAAAGGGACAGTGAGAGACCAAAGTCTATGATACTCATGTATGAAGAATGTCATAATAAAATCTATTATTCTTCTGTACAATGAACATATGCAATAAAAAGTAAAAACATGCAGAAATATATTAAATGGGATGAACTTGTATATGTAAATTATATCTTACTTCTTAAAAATAGAAGAATTAGAAAACAATAAGGAGTGGAACTCAGGGACTATTTTGTTTGAGCTGCGACCTCATGATAAAGCCACGGAGCAAACTCTGCTTTAGAGAACTGTGGCCTTCAGAGATCAAGGGCAGACTGAAGCAGGAAGGCACAGATCTTGTATCTGGAATGGGAGAAGTCACTACTCAGGGACATGAGGAGGAGATATATCAGTCCCTCTGGCCTGCCTTTCGCTCACTTGACTGAGGTGACTTTAACATCGAGATCAGGAAACTGCAATTCCAGATTGATCTGTTATATAGTCCCTTCTTGGAAGGGGCACCAGGAGTGCATTCACATGGCCATATGTTTTCAAAAAAACCACAAAGTGAAATTTGGACAGCAATTATTTAAGCTCACTGCTTAGACATTCTGATACCATCTATATTGCAACTTTTACTTTCATTTTTTTTTTTTCAGACAAGGTCTCATTTTGTGGCCCAGTCTGGTCTCAAACTTACAGTGATCCTCCTGCCTCTGCCTTCTGAGTGCCAGGATTACAGGTGTGTGCTACTATACCCAGCCCTAATTTGACAGTAAGATATTTTAAAGATATATTTATTTCATGTGTATGTGTGTTTTGCCTATAAGAGTACCTTTGTGTATGCAGTGCCAGAACGTGTATGAAGGCCAGAACGGGGTGTCAGATCCCCTAGGACTGAAGTTATAGGCAGTTGTTAGCTGCGATGTAGGCGCTGAGAACCAAACCTAGGTCCACTAGAAGAGCAGCAAGTATTCTTAACTGCTGAGCCATCTTTTCATTCACTAACTTTGTATTTTTAAAAAAGAAAGTCTCTTTCAGACCCCTGCCCCAATCACAGCTGAGTCTCGAGGCCCCCAACTCCTGCACACCCTGCCTGTTGGTGACTGCTGCTGTGTCCTGCAGGCCACCTCTTTGATGGGCTCACCTTCCTGTTGAAGCGGTCAATGGTGACATGATGGGCCAGATGAGTCACGTTCAGTATCACCAGACAAAAAGGAGGCCAGTTCAGGTGTCCCTGCAGAGAGTCCAGTCTCATCAGCCCAGAGCCCTGACCCAAGTTCCCCTCCAGGTGAGGGAGTATGAGGAATGTGAGCACTTGTGGGCCTGCACTGGAGGTGCAGACTCCCAGCTGACCTTATGTAAGCCCAGCTCAAAGAAGACGGGGAGGGTAAGAAAGAGGAAGGGAAGGAGGAGAAAAGAGAAGGAGGAAGGGAAGGAGGAAAAAAAGGAGGAAGGGACGTTCCTTCCACTTGGCTCAGAGTCATCCTAGCAGGCACCCCTCTGCAGTTGGTATCCATGAGCACAGGCCACAACCTTGGAGGGGCCGCCCAGACCCTAGAACGTTGCAGGAGCTGGGAAGGGCACAGACCCCAGGAAGGGCCAGGTGGTGGCACACTCTGCTCCATGCTCCCCTGTCACCTGGCCTGCAGAGGGGAGACCTTTCCAGGAGCCTCCTGGGAGGCAGAGGGGCCTGCTTCCATGGGGCTCCTCAATCTATCCTAACCTCTGACACCCCTCAGATTCCAGCTCACCCCCTAATCTCCCCTCTGAGCCTAGTTCAGTCCCAGGTCCCAGCATGGAGGGAAACAATGGCATTACCAGGTTGGCACTTTTGCAGTCCAGGACATGGACAGTGATGGTTTCATCTTGGCTCTGACTGAGGATGTAGATGGCTTCCTTAAACAGGGCTACATGGCTGCCATCGAAGGTCACAAAGCTCAGGTCTGGGAAGATTGAACATCGGCCTGGAGGCAAGGGCAGGGGCAGAATAGGCAGATGACTCCAAGGCCAAAGACACTTAGGACGACGGGTGGGTGATTCAGAGGCTCTGGGGTTGGAGGGTCTGGGATCAGGTATCTCACAGAGATCAAAAGTCATAGGTGTAGGAAATCTGCCAGGCCAGAAATCACACTGAGATAAGAGGTTCCCATGGAAATATGGGAAGGGGCCAGGAGGGATCACAAGACCAGAGGAAGAAGGCATGCTGGGGTAGGGAAAGGAGGGTACAGAGCTCTGTCGGACCCCACAACTCACAGGCGCACTGCCAGAGGGGGCAGCAGCGATCCCCGCCCACCCTCACAGCGAGGCCCAAGACCCCACAGGGAGGGGAGGCAGCGCCCTGAGGACAGTGCTGGGACCGGTTCACACGAATCAGTTGGCCTTCTAGGCAGATGTGGCGGATGCAGTTCTTCTCAGCAATGGGCTGCAGCACAGAGAAGGTCAACATGAGTGCCCTCCTTGGGGCAGACGGTGTGACCCACTTCCAGCCTTCTGGGACAAAGCAGGTTCTAGCAGGGCAGGTGACCTCAAGGTAAAAGTAGAGAATTGATGCCCAATGATGATTTTAATTGTCAACTTGATACAACTTAGGGATCACCTGGGAAGAGAATCTCAACGGGAGACTGTCTTGCCCAGGCTGGCCTGTGGGCATGTCTGTGAAGGACTATGTAGATCAGGCTGGCCTGTGGGCATGTCTATGGAGGATGTCTTGATTGCCTTAATTGATGCGGGAAGACCCAGCCTGAAAGTGAGTGGCACCATCCCTGGTTTGAGGCCCTGGCCCATGTAAGAGCAGAGAAAGCTAGCTGAGCACTAGGTATATGTGCATTTATTCTCTCTCATGCCCAGCAGTATACCCTCATCACCTCACTCTGCAAAAACACACTAGCCATCTGATCAGTCCCTGGCCCAGACAGGCAGAGTGGGACCCTGCTGTGGTTTCAGGGGCCAGAGGAGACCTGGGGGTTTCTGAGGCTCCAGGGACTTGGGGAAGGGGCAAGGACAGCAACCCCACCTCCATCTTGTAGTATGGGGTGAAGAGACAGAGGCTACATCAGGCCCAGCCTGTGAGCCTGTGGCAATGTCCTTCCTAATGGCAGGAGAGGGTAGGTGTTAGGGAGGGTTCACAAACACTGAAGAACTCAACCTTGCACTCACCACACAGGCAGAAGATGCATTGGCCACAGCCTCAGTTGACCCCTCTGCGATGCTCTGGGCTGGAGCTGAGCTCCCTGACTGCTCAGTGGTGGCGTGGTGCACTAGCTCCTCTGGGGGCTGGGGCCCTGCTGGGGTCCCGTGAGCCTCTGCTAGTTGAGGCAGCAGAACCAGAGGGCCCTCCTCCCGGGAGGCGGTTCTGGCTGACACCTGGCTTAGGGAGTACGATGTGGGCACCGGTGGCACTGTGCGGGCCCGAGGTTCCTCAGCCTCAGTCACCAAGGGGGCAGCAGTATGGCTCACCATGGGCATAAGTTCTGTGAAACCCCCCTGGGCAGAGCCATAGAGGAAGGTGGGTGGAGACACCTGCTTAGATAGGATGGCTGCTTTCTGTGTGGTGCTCTTCCGTGGGGCAACAGACATTGTAGAGGCTGCCACAGCTCCAGAGCCTGGCAGTGTGGCTCCCTGAAGCAGGTCTGGTGCCATACCTGTTACCTGGGGGACTGTGGGGCCAGGTGGGTGTACCTGGGCTATCACAGCAGGCGTGAGAGGCACTGTCAGGCTGAGTGTCTGAGCAAGTGGAGTCGTGGCCATGGCCAAAGACACAGGCTGTTGCTGAGGTAGAGGGGTGGTGCTATAGCCTTTGGGGCCAGGTGTGGCTACTGGGGCAGATGTGCCCACCTTGGCTAAGGGCAGGCTGGTGTCAGGGGGCAGGCCAGAGTGGAGCTGGGGTGGCCGAGTTGACTCCAGAGAAACTAAGGCTGTACCTCCCAGTCTGTGTGTGTCTGTGGATGGGTGATCTGTAGCCAGGGTCCCTGGGGGCAGAGTCGGAGGCCTGGAGGCTGTGGTGGTATGTTGGGCTAGGTGAGGCAGGGAGGTGGGGACTGAGCTTGGATGTGGGGACACTGGCTGTTCTATGGGTTGGCTGTGCTCAGGCTTACCCTTCTCTGTAGATGGCACCACCTCTATGCCCTTGGTGGAAGGGAGACTGATGGGAACCTGTTGTGCTGTGCTTACCACTACCGGAAGGTGGCTGGGACTAGAACTGCTCTGAGTTGTAGTGGGTGGGGACATCCCTGTCTTGTTTATGAGCTTGGTTACTGCCGGTGTCGGCAAAGCCTGGTGGGATCTCAGAGAGGTGGGGGGCCTGGTGGTCACTCCAGGGGAAGCCACAGGTCTGGAAGAGGGGCTTGCTAGTAAGGAGGGCTTCAAGGATGTCGTCCTAACAGGCAAGGAGCCATGACCTGAGACCGTCACAGCTTTGGTCATAAGAGGGAAACGAGGTACAGGGGGGGACCGGGAGGAGACTGTGGTGTTGGGGTTCCCTGAAAAGGTCACAGTCACCTTGGTTGTCTCTGCGGCGCCTACTACAATGCCAGGTGTGGGTGTCTGCAGAGAAAGGGGGTGGGACAATGAGGGCTCTGGGATGTGGGAGGCTGCCTGGAGGCTGGCAGTCACTTCCTGGCCCGCTGTGGTCTCTGTGTGTTTTATCTGGAGGTTAGATGTTGTGAGCTCCAGCTGCTGCTGCAGGGTGGCCTGGGTGGGGCCTGGAGACAGTGTTGGCTCCTCGGTGGTTGTCATCAGAAGGCTTGGGACTGAGGCGAGTGGGGCTGCCGGGACAAGGGCTGGCCTGTGGGTGGGGACTCTGGGGATCTCCTGTGGAAGCTGCTGTTTGTCACTGGGGGTGGGCAGCACTTGACCAGGTGTCAGAGTCTCGTTGCCAGTGGCCTCTGTGGGACCCCAAGTGGCTGGCTCCACACCTGTGGCAGACAAGAGACACAGCTCAGAAAGTGGATGACTCTGCCCCGGCCATCTGAATCCAGCAGGACTGAGGTATAGGGCTGGAGGGCTGCCAGGCACCCTAAGTGATGAGGCAAATGCAGCTTCTGATGGCCAGGCTTCAGGGCCTCTGTCCCTTGGGGCTGAGTGACTTCATAGATGTCAGTAGGTCTGGACTTTGCCCCATTTGGCCTAAGTCTAGCTTCCCTGTCAATTTGGCATGAGACCCTGAGCCAGTCCTGTCCCCACGTTAGACCTCAGTTTTTTCTTTCTGTGAAATGGGTGAGTGGGCCAGACAAGGCCTCTGCCAGCCCTCTTCTCCCAGGACCTGACACTGACTCTGCTGCTCTGGGACCCAGAACTCTGGGAATCACTGTTCAGTGACACCCTGGGGACTTGAAGGAGTCAGAGAAAGAAGGAACTCCAGGCAACTCACAGTCTTGCAAGTAGACACATCTCTGTGTGACTTCATCCAGGACCTTGGGAGTGGGGCACATGGGGACACAGCCTTCCACCCTGAGGACAGAGCAGGAAGCAGGCTAGTGATCTAGAACATGGTGTTGGTCACCCTACCTGGCTTGATACAGGCCTTGTCCTTCCTTATGACAGGTACATGTACCCTCATGTGAACCTCCACAGAGACCCTGTCACACATGTGCACAGCAATACCCATGCCCATATATAAGTATGTGTGCTTCATACTCCTATCCCATGGTGAAGAGGGAGACACATGAGAACAAGGTGTGACTATGTGTACATGTGTGCACATGCTCAGTGTCTCTACCCAGGACCATTCTCACATAGCTCACAGACTCTTTCCAAGAGTGTAGAGTGCCAAGAGATTTACACTTGCATATATCACATACATCCACACAGACTCCCACAAACAGCACTGTACACACCCCCATGCACATACCCAACTATGTACAACTGTGTACATACAGCTCACACAGGTCCACAGGTATAGCTGTGTATAGCCCATGCATACTTACTACATACAAACACATACAAGGCTCATCGGTGTACACGTCATGCACAGATCTACACAAATGCATGTTTATATATATGGCACACATCTACTGTTGCGGTTTGAATGTGGAATGTCTCTCATAGGCTCCTGTGTTTGAACACCTGGTCCTCAGCTGTGGTGCTGTGTTGGAAGGTTACAGAACCTCCCTGGAGGAAGTGGATCATTGGGGCTTGAGGTGTTATAGCCCAGCCGCACTTTGTGTCCACTCTGCCTGCAAAGCAACCAACCACCTCAGGCTCCTGCTGCTATGCCTTCAGACAGTGATGGACTAGATCCCTTTACTCCCAGCACTCAGGAGGCAGAGGCAGGCAAATTTCTGTGAGTTCAAGGCCAATCTGATCTACATAGTGAGTTCTAAGCTGGCTGGGACTACAGGGAGACCCTGTCTCAAAAAGACCAAAAACATGTATTTATTTGTCTTTGTTTCATGTGTATGAGTGTTTTGCCTGCATGTATGTAAATGCACCCATGTCATGCAATGCCCATGGAAACCAGAAAAGGGCATCAGATCCCCTGGAACTGAAGTTGGCTGACATGTTAGTGCTGGGAACCGAACCCAGGTCCTCTGCAAGAACAGCCAGTGCTCTTAACTGCTTGGCCATCTCCAGCCCTGATAGCCCTTCTTAAACTGTGAGCCAAAATGAACCTGTCCTTCCTTAAGTTGCTCTTGTCTGGTGTTTTGTCACACTGTCAAAAATAGTATATACAGAAACGCACATTTCCCCTGGTACACACACTCCTATACCTACCTTAGTACCCACCCCTGCACACAGCCAGACTTCATGTAAGCCCATTTGTGTGAGTGTGTTCACACACACATGCTCACAGGTATGTTCAGATTATGTTTTGCATGCACTGACTCCACACCCACCATCTCCTGGCCTCACCTGGGCACATCCTGGCAGCTGGCTGCCTGTGGGTCCCGGCAAGTTTGGAAGCAGGGGCTGGCACAGGCTTCGTAATGCCATTCACAGATGGGATAGGTAGCCCCTGAGGGCTTGGTGTCTAGAAAGGAAATCCCTTCCAAGTCTCTGGACTGAGAGAGACTGAGCATCAGAGCCCAGACAAGCTCAGCCCATGCCCTCTCTGCCCTGTGGTGGGGACAACTGGCCACACGTCGTAAAGGATAAGAAGCTAAGCAGAGGAGGCAGCATCTATGGAGGCTGGGGTCAGTGTCTGGGGATCCTGAGGATGTGGAGCTGTGAACCTGGTGTAGGGCTGAGCTGGGGGATGTTCTGGGGCAGGTAAGATAGCTGGTCTTGGGTGGCCACAGAGCAGGCTTAGACCACTGAGCTCTCCTATGGGCTGCCCCTCTGGGATCTTGGTGCCAAGCCTGCCCTGTATCCAAGAACACAGAACCTCCCCTACCTGGACTCTAACAAGGTGGTAGAAAACTTTCCCTTGGGTATGGGGAGAGCCTTCCTCTCTGAGCCTAAGGCCCTTATGAGCATCTGGCCCCAATGAACAAGGGAGATGATCTTCTCCATCCTATGTTCTGGGGGGTCCCCCTGCTGCAGACTGAGCACCAGCCATGTCCCTGCTAGCTTGGCTCATAATGATGATAACAATAACAGCCAATTCCCAAGCAGTGCCAAGGGTCACAGTAAACAAACAGTTCACTGCCTCTACTCCTCAGCCCTTCAATCATCCTATGAAAAGCAGGCACTACTGTCCCTGGTTAGAGGAGGAGACAGACAGCAATGATGGTGTGAAAGTAATCTTTTCCAGGGCAGATGTCCTTGAAAAGGCTGTGTCCTGTGGAGTGGGTAGAGACAAGACTGTGTTGGCACAAGGGCTCGGTCTCTGAGCCACAGCCTGAGCAGGGGCTGTGGGCAGGCTCCATGAAGTCTGGAGGGAGCAACCCATCTGGCACTCTGATCCCCACACTCACTGACTGAAGATGCCTTTTTCTCTAAGAGTTTGGAGAGAAGAACCTAGAACTGACATCTAGGAGTTTTTTACCAGAGTGGTGCCCCTGACCGTCATTGGTCCTCACTGTGTCCTTCTGAGACAAACACCCCCATTTCACAGGTGAAGTCACAGAGTTGGGGAGATGGGGGTTCTGCCCCAAATACCATTGGCCAGGGTCAGGATTCAAACCCTGTGCTGTCCAGCTTAGGGGCCTTGCTCATTCCACTCTGGTCCCAGAGTCTCCCAGAGAGTTCTTTCTCCTAGATGGCGAAAACTCTTCCTGGAGAATGTGGATGCGGGACTCAGCCCATGACAGCTGAATGGATACCCAGCCCCACCCTGATTCAGGCAGAACGCAACATTTGGGGAGCAGGGCTACCTGGCAGGGGAGGGCAAGCCTGCTTGGGGCCTGGGACTCCCACAGGAGAAACTAGAGCCTCTGACTTCTAGGCCTGGTGCTGCTGTGGACATAAGCTCCTGGGACAATATGTGCCCCAAAGGCAGGAAACCAGAGGTGAAGACTGTATGATCCTCCACCGGATCCCTTTCGGTCACTTCCATAAAGCCTGTGTATTTTTACACTGTGTGAGTGGCCTGTGGCAGCAGGCAGGACCCAGGAAGCTAGCTGGTCTTCAACTAACCCTGCCAGCACGCCCTAAACTGCCAATATAGAGAACAAACACCTCCCATCCCAGAGGTGCAGGGGGGGGTCTCCTCTGGTCCAGGAGGGTGAGGGTTCTGTTCTTTGGGGACAAGTGGAAGGGAAGTGAGGAGAGGGCAGGAAGGACAGCTGAGTGAAGAGGTCCTAGCCCAAGACTAATGGCATGGCAGACACTTACCCAGGAGGCGGAAGAGAGCACCCTCACGGAACGCTTCTGTGTGTTCATACATCCGCATAGCCAGCCCAAGGCCAGATATGTAGAAGAAGGAGCTGGGCTTTGCAAGGGACTCCAGAGCCACCAGGCCAGCCCGCCATGTCCCTCGGTGTAGTGAGAAGGTGGCGTGCTGGTGGAAGACTTCGCTGCCCTGCCATTTTGCCAACCCTATAGACCCATTGGCTGTGATATGGAGGAAGAAGTTGGGTCTGTCAGCTGCCTCCAGGGACACCACATCAGGATCTGCAGAGCCACAGGAGTGAGGTCAGTGCACAGAGATCTGGATTTGGGGGTGGGGAGCATGTGTCTGCACCCTCAGTCACAGGACAACAGCTCCCTGTGGACTAGCTGGGCCCTGCTCCTCTGTGGCTGCCTAAGCTCCCTGGACCTTCCTCCCTCTCCCCAGTCTTCCATCTGCCTGCTGGACACCTTCTGCTCACACATCACTGTGAGGGAAGGTAGAGGGGTACAGAAGCTAACCACTGAGCCTCAGAAGTAGAGGAAGAGGAAAGAAGAGGGGAAGGAAGAAGGGGCATTGCCACCTCTGGGCTTTTGGGACAATGGTAGAGGGTCAAAGGCCTATCTGGACCATGGTCTCCTTGAAGGTTTTTTGGAGGATGGGAGGGGAAGAAAAACGTGTGTGTGTGTGTGTGTGTGTGTGTGTGTGTGTGTGTGTGTGAGACGAGGACAAGAATCTGACCCAGAAGTGGTCTGAACTGAGAAAGTGGTGCCTGCTGAAGCCTTGTAGCTTAAGGCTTCAGAACCTCCTCTATCAACACCATCTTTCCCCAGAGGGCTAGACTGGGGCCAGGGTGGGCCTTACCATGAGCCTTGGCCTTATACAGAGCAGCTGTCAGCAGGAAGCTTGAAATGTCCCCTGGTGCCAGATCTTCCTCCCTTATGAGGGCTATGTCACCACCCACTGCCTTCACCGCCACTAGGGCGCCACCAGCCACCACACTGGACAGCTGGTAAGGACCCTTACCTAGCGCTGGAGAGAAGAGCCTCATCACAAACTGCACTACCCAGCCCACTTGTCCCACCCAGGTGTGGAAGAGGCAGGGTGCTAGAGAGGGATTCTCCATGGCTGCCTGACCCAGACCCCAGGAAAACTTAATGTCCGTGATGAGCTAGGGCTCCCAGAGTGGCAGCCACTGAGGGAAACTGACTCTTCCCCTGAGCATGAGTCATTGCAGATGACTGAAGGTCACCCCTGGGGGCATCTCCATGCCTGCCTTCACCCTGAAATGTTACTGTTACAGCCAGTGCTCTATCAGGGCACCCCTAGAAGAATACATTACAGCCCCAGCCTGAAGGATGACAGGGCCCTGAGCTAGCATCGGCTATTTATTTCACGTACATGTCCCTTTTGTGTTTGGAAGGGCTCCTGGAGCTGTGGGTATAGGTTGGAGAAGGGGCGAGTGTCCCAGACAATTGCAACAGCTGTATAACCCATCTTCTTGCCTCTGGCATGCCCCACAGCAGCCTGAGTCACCTTCCCATGTCTCCCTACCACCCTCAGAATAGAATCACAAGAGCCCAGCTTGAATTAAGAGCTCTTCACTCCTGGACCCCTGCTTTGACCACCACCTGCTTCTGCCACACTGATCTTGGTTCCTACTTCTTTGAAAGCCACACCCTGGTCCTAGCTTATCTCTATCATGCTGTCCCACCCCCTCAGAGAAGTCCCCCTCATTGTGTGCCTGGCAAGCACCAATCTGTCTCTGGAGACCAGCTCAAATGTCACCTCCTTGGTGAAGCTCACACTGCACCCTCCGCTGCCACATTCGCCTCCATGCCCTGCCAGTCCTTGGAGCAGAAACGCACAGATCACAGCTCGACAATGTGGATCTGAATCGGGGATCCCTGCCTTGTCCCACACTAGACAGCAGACAGGCAGTGCTGTGCTGGTAAATGGTCAGCAACCAGCTATCAAAAAATAAGCAAAAAAGCCGGGCATGATGGCGCACGCCTTTAATCCCAGCACTAGGGAGGCAGAGGCAGGCGGATCTCTGTGAGCTCTCGGCCAGCCTGGTCTACACAGCAAGTTCTAGGCCAGCTGGGGTTATAGGGAGACACTGACTCAAAAAGACCCCCCAAAAGCAAAAACCAATGTGTAGAGTTGGCTGATGTCCTTTCCAGCACCCCAAGAGGCCTGGACCACAGAAAATGCTGGTGGAACTGAGCAAGGCATGGTAGAGTGGGCGGGTGGGTGGGTGGAGGATGCTAGAAGCAGCTTGTCCTTTGCAAGTTACTGACACCCAAAATGCCACAGGAGGAGGAAACTCTGTTCAGAGCTGTGCTGCTGAAATGTCTTCGCCTGATGTCACACAGACACTCCCGTCCCAGGGACTGTAATTCTCCCAGAGCTATTCCTTTAGGAATTTAAGACTCGAGGCCCTCACAGCCTCTTGAGACCAACACTTGGCAAACCCATTTTTGGTATCTGAGTTGTCATGTTGCAGCCTGGTTCAGCCCTCATCTTGCAGATCCCTAGTCTTGTCTCCTGTCTCCATCCCACTAGCCATAGACCTGCCAGAGAGGACACTTCTCAAACTCAAATCTCATAGTACAGGAAAATGAGCATCAAGCCTTATACCCACACCCTACAGGCCAGAGGAGAGCTAGGGGCTTGGTAATCAAAGGACTAGAGCATCTAGTCCAGCACTTCACCTTGACCCACGTGGATGAAGTTCAGTGCCGATAACTCCCTTGACAGCCCTCTCAGCACTGCCCACTCAACCTCAGTGATCAAACTGATTAAGAGGCTGGACACTCACCTCCCCTGTGTCTTTAGCTATGACTTGTGATTTCTCCTTCTTTAATAACTTAGTGTTAGCATTATCTTGGTACTCTGTAGCCTTAACTATGTTTGAAGATGGATCTGATTTTCTACAGCCTTCCTCAGAGACAGCAGTTTGTGTCTGGTTTTGTAAACTCAGATCTTCAGGGAACCCTAGATGATAGTCCATGGGCCTGTGGAGTCCAATTAGGAAGGTCACAAAGGGAAGACACTAGTATCAGTGGATTTCTAGGGCCAAAAGAAGCTGGCCTGGATAAGCACAATCTCCAGGAACTGACCGGCCTGGGCCTCACACAGGGCTGCAGAAAGACTGGGGACAGAGCCTTGGGCATTCCTAAGCCCTCACCATCAGGGATCTCAACACCATAGAGTTCCTCTCAGCCATATGTCTCAGGTCTTCTAGCAGCAGCAACACCTCAGGAGGTCAGCATTGATGTGGCCCAGGGGCAGAGTTAGTGTGCCCCAGCCACTGAGGCTCCATTTGGGGGACAATGGGCTTACCTTTGTTGAAGAACTCACAGTCGTATGCTGAAGGAGAGAGAACAGAGATTTCCTATGAGCTGACCCAAGCTAGGACAGATGGTCAGAGCAGGGTTCCTGCTTCCCACTTCCCTCCTTTGTCAAAGACTGGGTCTGTCCTGCTTCCCAAACTACAAGATTTGGGGATGGCTTTAGATTCAGATGTTTTAAGAGGAGGAGATATAGTGGTCCTTCCCTGCATTCCCACCCACCACAAGGCTCAAAGCCTAGCCTGGAGTAGCACTCAGTGATGCATTGAATGAATGCATGTTGGACATTTATGTGCCCACGAAGGTCAAGATTAGAATGAAGGGGTTGGGCTAGAGATGTAGCTCAGCTATTAAGAGTGCTTTCCTAGTATGCATGAGGCCCTGGGTTGAATCAGTAGGGTGTAGAGACAAAACTATCAAATTCAAGGTCATCCTTGGCTATGTAGGGAGTTCGCAGTCAGCTTGGACTAGACACTCTGTCTCAAAAACAATAACAGAACCAAGAACCAAAACTGATTGGAAATATTGCAGGTATCCAGAGACAGAAGTTCCACAGCCTAGGATGGACGGGGAAGAAGGACCTCCGGGATCCCAGGCTTCTCTGGGACCTTCTGTGTCCAGTGTCTTTGGCTCAGCAGTTCATCCACCAATCAGCCAGAAGTAAAAAGCTTCTAAAGTGTGGGCTCAGTGCTCTCTCTAGTGGCTAAATGCAACATTACAGTCTATTCCCCTGCACCTCCCCTATGGATTTCTCAGTCCCCAAGGGCTGAGCTGAGGGCCTTGCCAAGGCTACCAGCAACCAGCTGGATAGACCTGGAATAAGGGGCCCGATTCACACACAGGTATGGTCTGAGGAGTCACCAACTCCTCTTGATCAACAAGAACACGGAATCAGAAACTGAGCTGCCATAAGGCTGTGGGCAGTTACTTGCCTTTCCTCATTTGCAGACATGGAAGATTGAACTAGAAAATCAGAAGTTGGGGCTGGAGTGATGAATGGGCTGGTAAAGTGCTTGCCTTACAGGACAAGAACCTGGGTTTGATCCCCCAATCCCTAATGCTGGGGAGGTGGATACCTGGGGCCAGCTGGCCAGTCAGCCTAGCCACAACACACTGGTACAAAATACACCTTGCTAGGATGTCTGTTTCCTATCTGTCTCACTTTGGACTGGCACCATTTGCTATTGATCTGAACACCCTTAATTTTAATCATTTTAGCTAAAGATTTGCCTTTAAAATTACATCTATTTATGTATTTGGCATGTGTCATGGTACGCATGTGGAAGTCAGAGGACACCTTGAGGGTGTCTGCTCACTCCTTCAACCATGTGAGTTCCGGGGATGAACTCAGGTTGCAGACCTTGGCAGCAAGCGCCTTTACCCACTGAGCTGTCCATCCCTCTGGGCCAGGATTATTGTTTTTGAAATATCTCGTGTAACCCTCTGCATTTTGCCTTTAAAAACTTTCCCTTGCTTCAACTTCTAATACACTCAGAGTTCACTATAGAGCATGCATTTCCATTGCAATGTTTTGCTCTTTTTCCAAAAGTTATTAGTCTCTGGAGAAACTTTCTGTGTCTTATTTAGGTTGACAAGATGCTGCTTTAATGCAATATTCTGAACATAACAAAATTAATGCAAAAAGTCCACAATAAGTAAAATATCAAAAATTAAAATAAGCAGAAACCGTGTCCCACTAAGTCATCATGAAACCTCAGACAAAAGGAAAAGTTGGTAACACTGACCCTTTGATGTTTTATCTGCCAGCAATATTTCATAGAAATTTTTACCTTTTAAAAACACTGCCTTCAAATGCTATTTTACTTGATCCCTGAGTTTTCTGGTGTCTCTCTAAGTGCCAGGCTCCTGACCATGACTGTTAAATGAGATAACTGACAGGCTGCCCTCTCATGGTGAGTCCCTCCCCTTCTTCAAGGGTGGTTATCAGGGAAAAAGAGGAAGAGGGCGATTACACTAGGACCCAGCTTCTGTGCTGAATGGCCTCTGGGGAAAAAAGGAAGAGAGAAAGGAAGCCAAAGGTGGGTGCTCCTCCATCTTCTTTCTAGGGTTCTCTTGCCTGGAGCCCCTGGGGCTCAAGACATGCCAACACCCCTGTGCTTATTAACAGTGGTGTGGAGAACCAAGCCAGTGTGCTACGAGCTTTGTGTCATTTAACTCTCACTACTTGTGAGGTGGGGACTCAGTGTCACTCCTGTACTTCAGAGTAGGGAATGTGCTCAGGCACAGGCGGGCAGAACTGTTCAGGGTCTGAACCTGTCTATTCCCGAGCCTGGACACTCACTATTGACCCCAAAACAGAGTGTAAACCAGGAGAATTCCCCCGTGGAATACTGGGATCTATGGTAAAAGTGTAAACTGGGAAAATTCCCTTGTATGTTTTGTGATGTGCATTTGTACTACCAATAACACATGTATATAAGTTTATGTGTACGGGTGTGTGTGCTTAGAATAGTCTTATTTGGTAGAGGTTCCATCAGCAGCATTTACAGATGGCCACTCCTCTGAGTAAACAGACCTCGTGCTGCCTGTCGCAGGCCTTCTGTCCACAGCTCGGCTGTCAAAGGCTCTGGTGTTTGTCATCCTGTTTGAGCTCGTAATAAGCCTGCTAAGTCAGTCCTATTCCTATTTTTTTCAGATTAAAAAACTGACCCTGAGAGGGGCTGGGCAGCTTGTTTGAGGTCACACAGCATGCAAAAGTCAGTCTGGCTCTGGAACCCGGGGCTCAGAACTCCTTAGCAATGAGGTTAAGGTCTACATCAGCCTCTCTGGGATGAATTTTGGCTCCCTCATTATCCTGAGTGACCTTGAACATGGCACTTCACTGCCCCCCACCTCCCCCAGGCTCACCAACTTCAATACAGGAGTGTACAGCCCTGCTTTGGGGGTAGGTATAGACACAGTAAAGACTGAGCACAAAGGGGCTGGTGCCTGGCACACAGTGAGCACCAAATAAATGCTAGCCAGGGTGATGGTGGACACCCCACTTGGTTCCCTGGGATGATGGGGGCACTCACGGCAGAGGCGGGGGGTCCGCCAGTCAATGACCACCCCATGTTGGCAGCACTGATGGGCGTAGGCTGACACGCTGGCACAGAAGCACTCACAGTCACCACCCCGGCTACACCCACATGTGTCCGTCAGGCAGTTTGAATAAAACCATGTGACATCGACCTGGGGGAGGTCAGAGGTCAGAGGTCAGAGGACAGATCCTGAAGGGTAGTCAGGCCTGCATCTTTTCTGGTGATAGCCACCAGCACAATATGAAGACAGCCACAGGGTAGGGTGAGCTGTTTGCATGGATGAGGGCTGGGGGAGAGAGACAGCCAGGTCAGAAGAAGGAACTCCGTGGCACAGGCAGACACCCACTTTGAGAAGCTCTCCACTCCTGAGCCCAGACTGTCAGACCCAGGGTCTCAGGGAATGACTGAAAAACAGATAGACAGGGTAAGCTGTGAACTGCTCAGCTAGGCTGGAGACACAGAGGCCAGTCTGTGGAGATCCTTGAAGCCCTGGAGGTCCTGTGTGGACCTGATCCCCAACATTCTCTTCTCCATGGAAGAGAGAGCCCCACAGCAAGCTCGCTCTGCAGCAGCTTCCGGACAAGGAGGAAGAGCCAGGCCCAGCTGGGTTGGCAGAGCCCACAGAAGCTGCTGGCTGGCTCACCCTGGTCCTCCCTGTGGGAACACAGGGAAGGTTCTGAGCAGGCTAGAGGCAGAAGAGTAGCAGAGAAAGGCCTTGCCTCTTCTAAGGGAGTCTTTGAGCAGAAATGGTCCTGGGAAGGTCAGAGGTCAGGAGGGGCCAAGGCAGGGCCACTCACCGTGGGTGGCACTTACCACAGGGTGGCAGGTCTCAAACACTTCGCTGAGCAAGATACCACACTCCTTCCTGGCAAATGGTTCTCGGAGAGGATTCAAGACACATGTGTCCCGGGGGTCGAGAGTATCTGGGCACTGAGAGATAAAGCCAGGGATGTGCTTATGACACTGCGCAGATCTCTCCACCCCTCAAGTGCCTGTGACTGGGGCCATGGAAAGACTGAGGGTGGCCTTCTGGCATCAATGTCCTTGTATAACATCCACCTTTGGGAAGTGGGAGGGACCTGCTTGCTTCCTACCGACAGTACACACCAAAGGTGCCAGGAAACACATGGCTGTATCCTCAGAGCCCACCTAGATGGAGTCTGCCTTGCTGACTGTGAGGAAGTAAGGAGCCATGTTGGGAACCCCACATGACAGGAAATATGCTTAGCCTCTAAGAGTTGAGGGGGGCCAACAACCACCCAAAAGCCAAAGCTTTCAGGCCTGTGGGTACCAGGAGCAGAAAACAACCCATAGCCACTGGCTCCTTCCCCAGAGGAGCCTCTGGGTGAGATCCCAGCCTTGGCTGTCACCTTGACTGCAACTTGTGGGACCCTGAGTGGAGGGCCCAGATGTGTGTCCTTAGTGGTGTCAAGTTGAACACCATCGCTATACAGAAATGTATAACTAACACAGATTTCCCTCAAGTCCACTGACCCTCCTTCCTCAGGCCTCCATTTCCAATGGGACCTCCAGGGTACTCCTAAGGTTATAAGCAATGGAGAAATATGTGGTGGGGGTGAGGGCATCACAGCAACAAAATCAGCCATCAGCTTTTCTAAAATGGGGATGGACTAAGGAACACTTTTCTGAGGTTGCTCTGCCTTCCCCATGACCCAAGCCCAACTCCATCTATCCTCAGCAAAGAACTAAGATCACTCCGTCAAGATAAGAGATCTATGAAACACTCATATCACACTCTCCACTACTGTACCTAGGACAAGCATAAATAATCAATCACAGTCCTTCCATTGAAACCTAATGTAAGTCTTAGACATTGCTTAGTGAAGCTTCAGACTGATCAGAGCTTTCACATGAAGTGACAAATATTCACCATCCCTCTCTTGGCATAGCCCCCTCACGTCAACAGAGGACTGAGGTCACCCAGAGAGCCCAGAGAGAACCCAGGTCCCCTGCTCTCAGCTCAGTAGTGTCCCCACAGCTCACAGCAGGCAGCCTTAGGTCCGGCATCTCCCAAGCTTCAGGGACACTCTTTATTCCTGCTTCTGCTCCTGTCCTCCCTCTCAGTGGCCTGAGTCAGTCATCTAGCTAAACATGGCCTTTCTGCTAACTATCAGCCTGGTCCCACCTCCTCTGAGGAGCATTCTCTGAGGATTGCCTCAGCCCACAGCACTCTCTGGACTCTGTAGCCAAGCTAGTGCCAAACATGGGGTTTCAGCAAGCCTCGGCTTCCCCACTAGGTGGCCATCTTTCCTAGGAGAACCCTTGCCTCCTTCCAAAGACTTCATCCGGTCTCCTGGGCCTGGCCAAAGGGAAGGTGGACTGTTGGCCTTGAAGGATAGGGACAGAATCTAGAGCTGCAGATGCCAGCCAGAGGCAGGGGGCGTTCCCAGGAACAGCCTCACACCAGCGGGGCCCATCCAAGTGAGTGAGGGTACCAGTCAGCCCAGGAGGCCTTACCTCAACCACAGCCCAACTGCTGCCAAACTCCTGGGGGTTAGTTAGCTCCAGGTTCTCTGGGGTCCACATCTCATTGACAGTTTTTAGGTCGAAGTTCCCACAGAGGCCTGCCAGCTGACCCTGAAAGGAGAGAGGATTCCACGTCAGCTGTGCGTATACCAGAGCTGAGCTGTTGTGGATCCAGAGACAACTGTGGGGATCAAAGTTTGAGGGACCTGACAACATCAGGAAAGGGTCTCAGAACTGAGTGGATGGTGGCACTGGGACATGTTCCTCCTGTCCTCTCAGGGAAGGATGGCTCAGCCAAGGACAGCAGCAGTTTGGTCAGTCCCAGGCAACAACAGAAGTGGCGATGATCAATGCTCCTGACTACCTGCCACTGAGGGCCTGCTTGGATGTGCACAGTGGTTCTCTGGTCCCACAGAAGGGTGACGTGCTCCCTTGGGAAATGAACCAGCGTGAAGAAGCCCGCTCTCCAGGTGTGGACCTCCTGCTTCTCATCCAGGAAGCTCTCCAGACTCTAGGAAGACACAGCTGCTCAGTCCTGAGGCCAAGTGTCTCTCCACATCCATGTCAGTCAGATCTGACTATAAGTCATTGCCCGACCCTCGAACCTCACCAATGCCTCTGCCTCCCTCGGCCCCGACAGTGATGTCTGATCTTCACGCTGCACAAGGAATCCAGTCAAAGCTCCTTCCTAGTGGCTCTCTGTCTCTCATCCCTCTCCTGCCCCAGTCACCCCTCCCCCAGTCTGTGCACTGTCTACATGACCATCCCCAGTGCTGGGCCTTACCGGATCCCCTGAGTCGTCGTCAAAGACGAGGAGTGAGTTGCCAACATTGATGGAGATGGACTTCCTGCAGATGATGCCAGAGCTGTAGCAGTTCACATTTTCCACAATCACTGAGAAGCTGACCTCTGAGGTACTCTGAGAAGAAAAGAGAACACAATGCAACCGGGGAGAGGAGAGGTCTGGGAAGGGCACAGAGGTGGCAGGATGTGGATTCCCGCTTTTCCATTAATTTATTTTGTGCATACGGTGAGGATGTGTGGACATATCCTTGTGTGTGCAGGTACACATGTGTGTGAGTATGCATGCATATGTGCCTGAATGTAACCTCCCAAGTTAGTGACTATAACCTTTTGCTAGTCATGTCCTTTTGAAAACACTGAATGATGTGCTGTGTGGAGGTAAAAGGACACTGCCCACCTTGATTTTTGAGACAAGGTCTCTCACTGGCCTGGGATTCACCAAGTAGGCTGGGCTGACTGGCCAGCAAGTCCCAGGGATCCACCTGCCTCTGCTTCCCAGTGCTGGGGTTACATGCACAGCCCAGGTTCTAAAGGTGAACTCAAGTCTTTGTGCTTGAAAGCACTTCACTGACCGAGTGATCCCCCAGTTCTCAACCCACTTCTTGTCAGCTGTGTGGCTTTGGAAGGCTGACTTCGGTTCTTTGAAGCTCAGTTTAGGTTTCTGGGTGCTAGTGTAGTGTTTAGCAGATATGACTCTCCTCTAAAGGATCTAAGGAATGAATGGGTGAGTGAATCAATATAACAGGAATGGCTAGTGTGATGGGGTAGAGGAGGGACACTGTCTGACACACACTGTCGATATAAGCCTTTTGTGGTGGAAGGTTTCCAGCATTAAGTAACATTTTAAGTCTACATCGCTTTTTTATATAGCAATTCCACTTCAAAGCACCTAGGGATACATTCACACACGTCTTTGCTGTAGTCTTTAAGTACTGGAAACAACCTAGATGTCCATGTGGAGAATTTTATGCACATTCTTTCCAGAGAAAGCCACAGAGTGTACTGTCCAGCGTTAGAGGGGAAACAGCACATGGTGAGTGTGAGATGATACCCAACATATACTCTTACATGGAAAAAGCAAATTGTGCTGTTGTATTCATGTAAACTAAACTCTGTGTGTATGGGAGGGGGAGGGTGTGGAGGGGGGTATGGAGGCGTGTTCGTGTGTCTCATGGGAAATACTTCTAAAAGATTCACCCTGGCTCTTAGGAGCGGCTACTCAACACAGAATGAGAACAAAGTATCCTTCAGGGGATATAAAGATGAGGACTTGTTTTTAATATATTGTTTTATGCTGTCTTAAGTTTGAATGGAAAACACACATCATTTACAAAAATTAAAATGATCTAGCTTCACACACCTATAATCCCAGCACTTGGGAGCTGGAGACAGGTGGACTGCTGTGATTTCAAGGCCTGCCTGGATTACATAGAGAGACTCTGTCTCAAAACTAATAAATGAATTAATTTTAAGAATTAAATACAGCCACCACGGCACATATCTATAATCCCACTATTCAAGGGGCTGAGGTGGGGGATCACTCAAGACCAAGAGTTTGGCTTCAGCCTGGCAACATAGCAAAACCACATCTCAAAACGCATAAACAAATAATAAAAATAAAATAAAATGGGGCATGAAGAATAATATTTATTTTGTGGAATTACTAAAATTATGCAAAAGACCCCAGGACAATGCTTTCATCATAGACAAGAAAAGTCTTGTTTTCCCAGCCTATGCAAGCCTGGTACTCAATCTCCAGCACCACAAAGTAAATAAAGCGTACTTAAATACATATAGGAATACACACACATGCCTGCTCGGCTCTGTTCTTGCTCTTATTGCCAATATGAGACAGGCAGGCCTGAGCAAACCAGATCCCCGGGTGTGTCTGGCACTGCCCTGTGCACCTATTGGTGCCCCTCGTCTTTGGGGGACTCTGCCGTTTACTACACGATTGACGTCACCATTCCTCTCCCTTTGGGGGAACTAAAAATTTCTGAATGGGTAACTCATGTTTCTAATCGTATTGCTTGTTTTCACTCTAACTCCACCTCTGTGGCCGGCTAGCTGTACAACTTTAATCAAGTTCCTTACCGTCCCCAGGCCCATCTGTAATATGGAGCCAACCAATGCAATCTGTGGACTGCTTTGAAAATTGAGAGAATTCTCAAAGATGGTTGGTGGACACCAGGCACATATTGTAATGAAAGCAAGCTCGAAAGGCATGAGCTCTTTCTCTCACAGACAGAAAAAAACGCTGGGACCCACTGGGCAAGGTTGTAATGGTGAGTGGACAGGCAGTGGGGTCCCCTCCACCATGGCTGACTCCCCCATCTCTGGCAGCTGTACTCCAACTCTTAGACCCCCCAGCCACCCAATTATGCACCAGCCTGGAGGCCAGAGCATCAAGATGCCTGACAGGTCTTGGTCCCTGGTTTCTCTGGGTTCCCAGGGAGACAGCAGGGCAGACACACCCAGGAGCTCACCTTGATCAGATGTACTTTGCAGGCCCCCACAAAGTCAAATGGGAGCCCATCGAAGGTGCGGTAATGCCGGTCGCCATAGGCAGTGCAGGTGGAGGCACAGGGATGTAGGGTGCACTGGAACGTGCCCTGCTGGCACAGGCTGAAACACATGCACCCAGACAGCTCACCAGACACACTCTGCCCCATGCTGGATAGAGCCCTTGCCTGTTGAATGCACACAGTGTGCCCCTGTACAAGGGGTCAGCAAACATAGTAACCTCCAACAGAATCCAGGAAGTTGGGACTGTGAGCCCCATTTTATGAGAGCTTGGAGAGGTTAAAGGCCCACAGCCAGCAAATAGTGGAGCTGAGTTAACTCACATTTTTCTGATTCCATTCCCTTTTCATTACAACATCTATTTGTTCACGCATTCAACACATATCAGATGCTAACCATATCTCTGGCATTCTTCCAAGAGTTTGAGAAACCTCACTGAACAAAACAGACAAAAAACCCTTTGCCTTAGTGAAACTTATATCCTAGAGAGGAAATAGTTACATTGAAAAATAAACTTAAAAGGCACCAAGTCTGGGGCTGCAGAGATGGCTCAGTGGTTAAGAGCACTGGCTGTTCTTACAGAAGACCTGGGTTCGAATCCCAGCACCCACATGGTGGCTAACAACCATCTGTAATTCTAGTTTCAGGGGATCTGGACACCTTCTTCTGTCCTCCACGGACACTGCATGACACAGGTGCACTTACACACATGCAGGCATAACACTCATACACATAAAAATATATATAAATATATAATTTTTTAAAAAAATATCATCAAGTCTGAGTAAGTCACATAATGTGTTGAAGGCAGTTGGTGCTGTGGTGGGGGGGTAAGAATTGAAGTGTGTGGAGATGAGTCACAATTTTAAATAAGGTTGTCAGGAGACAAGCGAGCAGAGAGTTCGAGGAGGTGAGAGTTAACTGTATGGACATTTGGAAGAGGAGCATTGTGGGAAGTGGTATGCAAAGGCCTGAGGGAACACTTGGGTGATAGTCAGGACAGATAGCCCAAGGGTAAGAGGGAAGAGAGAGTGATGGATGGCTGGGTGACAGAGGCCCAAGGAAAGAGAGCGAGTCCCTGGAGGACCAACATGGCCAGCGCACAACCCGATTCGTGCTCGGCACTGGCGGCTGCACTGTGCCTAAACTAAAGGTTCAGAGAGGCAGAAAGGCCACCTGGGAGGTGATGGAAGCAAATTAGAGAAAAGAAGGTGGTGGCTCAGCACAGTCACACAGTGGGAAGCTGGAGAAGTGGTCTGATCTGAGGAGTATTTACAGGGAGAACCAAGAGTCACAGACTGTGTTCTTGTGCAAGTCCAAGTCAAGCAGTTTCCATCTCTTACCAATGATCTGTCACCCCTGGTCCACTGGTTATGAAATCCTCCACCTGAGCACACCTGCACAGGGCTCTGTGTCCTAATAGTCTACTCAGAGACTTCAGGAGTCAGGTATCCAGGCTTCTGACCACACACACCCCCTGGTTTATGTGGTAAACAACCTGGGAGCATGGCATTGACTGGGACCCTACTGCTAATGTGGGAAGGAATGTTTTGCCTGCCCTCTGGGCTGGAGAAACAGGATAGTTTGAACTGGGCATAAAACTGCAACTGGGGGCTGGCTGACACTGGTTGGATGGCTCTCTAAAACAGCCTCTCTGAGAGTCTCTGATAGGCTTCTGGGTCCCAGTCTCTACATTGAATCCAATCCAGGTGCACACTCCTGTATGTGTGTACAAACGCTGCTGAGTAGACAGCATGTAAATACACTCACATACACTCTCCCTTTGTACATATGCAATTCTACAATCACAAAGTACACAGGCATATTTTCACAAGTGTGCTCACTCAGGTGAATGCAAATATGTATGTTCAGTGCACACACAGTCACATACTTTGCATATACATATACCAAATAGATGCATATACATGTAAATATATAAACACACCTATATATATAAACAAACTCCTAACTGCATATTCACGAGCATGTTCAGATCTATAATATCTGCCTTTTTATGTATGTCCATATATGTTCGCTTACATGCATTTATTTATTTATACCCATACTTACACATTCATGTAACTATGCACTGTCATGAGTACAAATATGTGCATTCAGAGATACATCTGACATTCATATAAGTAATCACAAAGTACTCCAGAGTATTATACTCCTACTCAACATTCAACATGATGATGAACACGGTAGAAGGGAAATCATGTCTTTCCCAGCAAAAGCAAGGCCTGCTAAGTAGCCGTACTTACCAGGTGTGGCAGGGCGATACCACCTGGTCTCCTGGGAAATACTCCTTCCCTTTCCAGGTACATGGGCACTCCTCTGGTGGGAAGCATGCATCCCCGTGTCTGAGCAAGCTGGAGGGACACAGCGAACAAGTGGTCAGAAGAGCACTCTTCTAGATCCTCCATGTGTAGAAAATTGTGCATCACATGGGTGGCTCTCAGCATTTACCCTAGAGATGGACCATGAGTCCACTATCCACTTTACTGATGCCTAGTAAGGTTCAGAGGCACCTTGGTAAATGGAAAAACTGGGGCAGGCTAGGCCTGTCTCAGATGTCTCTACCATCCCTTGGGGAGTAAGGCTCAGTCTACCAGCCACAGTCTCTCGGGTCAGGATGTCAATTGTTCCACAGGCACTCGATGCAAACTAATGAGAGCCATGGGCTTGGCATCGTCCCTACACAGGTGGTTCGTGGAGCTCTCAGCCCATAGACTCCAAAGCCACAGTGCTACTACATTCTCGTCTGGCTTCCGTGAAAACTGACTCCATCCCAGAGAGGAGCCAGGGACATCTCATGGAATTTATGAATTCTTAGACCACAACTCTAGGCTACGTCTAGGCATCATCAGGGTACAATCTTGGAAACTGATAAGAATACAAGCTTTGGGATCATAAAGATAGCTTAGCATGGGTGGTGGTTTGAATGAGAATGTCCCCCATAAGTTCCTAGTATTTTGTCCCCAGTTGGTGGCGCTGTTTTGGGAGGTCTTAGAAGGTGTGGCCATGCTTAAGCACATCACTGGGGCCGGGCTTAGAGAGCTCTTAAGCCTTGCCAGATCTCCAGTTGTTTTCTGCTTCCTGTGCCTGCTTCAAAATGTAATTGCTTAGCTTTCTGCTCTGGCTACCTTTGCCATCATTATGACTCTTACCATTGGAACCATAAGCTCAAACTCTTCCTTTTACAAGTTTCCTTGGTTATGGTATTTTATCACAGCAACAGGAAAGAAATTAATACAACCAGAAAAGGCACTTGCCACTAAGCCTGACAACCCAGGTTCAATCCCCAGGACCTATATGGTGAAAGAGAACTCCTGAAAGTTATCTTCTGACTTCCGCACACACCCTGTGGCACATACATATGTGCGTACACATAAAATAAATAAATAAATGTACTAATAAAAAAGAATAATAGCTTTGGCAAAAGCTTTTTTTTTTTTTTTCCAGATCCAGAATCTGCCCAGGATCTTTACATTTCCTATTTTATTTTTCAAAGAGATAGATGTACATAGTTTAAAAAGGCTAAGAGGAACAAGTGCATTGTCATATTTTAAAAGGTTTCTTGCTAATTCCTCCCCACATCTGTGTTTTACTCTCAGAGTCACTTTCTGGACTGCAGAGCAGGATGATGGGACGTGAGCCGAGCCCAGTGCATCATGGAGGAGAGGAGACTGGCGCTTGAGTTTGGGGCTTCCAGAGTGGCTGGTATACACAGGTCAGGATATTAAATAGGAAAGGTCTGCTCAGAGGAAAAAACCTCCATAATTCTACTTAAAGGTTACTTTAGATCTTTAGACAATAAAGAACAGTGTGTGGTCAAGGAAGGATTCCTGAGGCCTGCAAATAAACAGCTACTGAGGAAGTGTGACATTAGGGAGAGTCCCAATGTGAGGCAGTGCCAGAAGATGTGAGGACTATGGTCAGCCAGTGTGGAAAGACCCCCCTTAACACCCGGGGCCTGGCAGCAGTTCTGTTAGACAATCTAACTCAGCTCAGCATCAAGCCTTGGAAATATCAAGTTAATGAACCAGTAAATTAACTGCCTATTATACAAACTTTCAATGCGCAATAAAGAAAGACAACAAAACAGAATCATTGTAGCCAACACCCAGTAAAACTTTCTAGATAAGAAATAAAAAAATATGACTCCTGGGGCTGGAGAGATGCTCTTGCAGAGGACCCAGTTCAATTCCCAGCACCCACATGGCAGCTATAAACTGTCCTTAACTCCAGTTCCAGGGGAATCTGAAGCCCTCTTCTGACCTCCGTGACATTGCAGGACACGGGTGCACTCATATACAGGCAGGCAATACACTCATACACATAAAATAAAAATAATAAAAATATTTTTAAAAATATGACTCCTAAGTAGGGGAAAAATCAAGAAGCACTTAAAGGGGATCTCCAAATAATACACAGGATCGAATAAACAGACAAGGACTTTGAGTTATTATAAATACAGAGCCTTTTGTTTGCCTGTGCAGTTCTGAAGGGTGAACCTGGGACTTTGCACATGCTAGGCAAGGGCCCTACCACTGAGCTAGTCTGGTCCTTGTTTTTTTGAGACAGGGTGTCACTATGTAGCTCAGGCAGGCCTTGAACTTGCTGTGAATCTTAGGATGGCCTTGAACTCTTGATTCTCCTGACTCCATAATCATAAATACCGGGATTACACACCAGACTATAAATATATTTAAGGATTAGAAGGGAGGGACTGGAGAGATGGCTCAGTGGTTAAGAGCACTGACTGTTCTTATAGAGGACCCGGGTTCAATTCCCAGCACACACGTGGCAGATAACAACCATCTATAACTCCAGTTCAGACAGTATACTAATACACATAAAAATAATAAAATATTTTTACAAAATAATTAGAAGGGATGGAAGAGGAGGGAGCGGGCGTGAATTTGATCAAAATCCATGTGCATGTATGAAATTCTCAATAAATTATTTTTTAAAAAAAGAATTAGAGTCAGATAGAAAGAGTGAATAGTAGGAGACTATCAGGAAACAGGAAGAAGTTTTGGAAAACATAATAGACTAAGTAAAAAAAATCTGAAAGGACAGGAAGAGACTAAGTACTTCACAGACTAAGTACTTCAGAGGTAATGATTAGTAATGACGTGAACAAACGAAATGGTCCAATCTGAATAGAGGAAGGCCTAGGGTAAAAAAAATGGACAGAGTCTTAATGATTTAGGAGATAGTATCAGGTACTCTGATGGAGTACAGTTATAATCTCCAGGGGAAATAATGGCTGGAACACTCAGAACTATTGATGAAGCTCAATTTCAAGTAGGATAGACACACAGAAATATGTGGATACATGACAGACAAACTGCTGATAGTGACAATGAGTGTTTAAAAAGACAAGACAGGGCTTGAGAGACGGCTCAGCAGTTAAGAGCACCGGCTGCCCTTGCAGAGGACCCAGTTCAGTTTTTGGCACCCACATGATGGATCATAATTGACTACCTATAGCTCCAGTTCCAAAGGATCTGACACCTTCTTCTGGACTCCACAGACACCAGCCACACATATGATATATATACAAACATGCAGGCAATACACTTAAAATAAAAATAAATCTTTTTTTAAAAGATGAGGGGCTGGAGAGATGGGTCAGTGGTTAAGAACACTTTCTGCTCATGTACAGCACCTGGGTTCAGGTCCCAGCACCCACATGGTGGCTCACAACTGGCTGTAACTCCAGTTCCAGGGGATCAGATGGCCTCTTCTAGATTCCACCGACATTGCATGACATGGGTGCACTTACATACATGCAAACAAAATACTCATAAGCATAAAATAAAGATAATAAATAAAAAGATATGCTGCATAGTAGGGGATAATGGTGAAATTAAACCAGTGAGGGAAAATGTTAATCAGAATTCTGTATATTATAGAAAAGATCAGTAAAATTGACAAATCCCTGGCTAGAATGAAAAGAAGTTTAAAAAAAAAAGAAAAGAAAAGGGAGAAAATAAATTATGAAGATAAAAAAATGAAGAAGAGATATCATTACAGATCCTACAGGTATTAAAAGCACGGTTTGGTCTACTTGTCACAATAAATGCGACTACTTAGAAAAGACAGAAAATTTTCTTAAAAGACATTATGAAAGTTTAGTCAATAAGAAACAGGAAATCTGAAATAGCCCGAAATCTATGAAAGAAATTGAGTGTGATGTTTAAAACTTTCTTAGTTATTTTATCAAGGATTTAAGAAAGAAATAATACAAATTCTAAATAAACTCTTCCAAGAGACTGAAAAGCAGATAATACTTCCCAACTCATTCTATAAGGCCAATATTCTTGATACCAAATTCATAAAACACATTTCAAGCAAAAAAATTTAAAAAAAAACATGCCAATATCTGCCATGAATATCAAATATTAAATGATGTATCACAGCTGGATCTTACCTCAGGAATGAGAGGTTGGTATATTAGAAAATCAACTGATATAAGTTACTACATTAACAAAATAAAATA